GGCCTCTGGCGCACATGAATCTTGAGGAGGTCCTGCAGTGACCTTTGTTACCTGGGCTTCTGCTTGCCACCTACTGACTTAACGTTGCCACAAGCCTTTTAGAGGTTCTGGTCTCCTACCCCTGTTCATAAAAGCATTCAGTTCTGAAATTATTAATGTCCAAAAAAGATCAAGTTGTTTTAGAGTGCTTGTTGGGACAATGGAGGATACTGTAAAGACTACCATAAAATATTAGCAGTCACTTACTTGTTTAAATTTGTGTGATTCATATGTGCTCCTGCACTAGTCACATAAGCTGTACTTTAAATCATTGCATTAGGATGTCACATTTTAATGTGTTCTACAAAACATTTGCATAAATACTGGAAAAAATGCACAAACAATAAATGCAGAATGTTTTTTCTTTTATATAGAAATCAGGGAGAAAGAAGGATAGGGCCCGTTATACTGAGAGCATACTATAAAGTTTTGATTTTTTTTTTTTTTTTGTGGTACTGGAGTTTGAACTCAGGACCTTGTGCTTGCTAGGCAGGCTCTCTACCACTTGAGCCACCCCACCCAGCCCACATAACATAACACCCAGCCACATAACATGTTAGTTGAAAGAGTCACATGGCTGCCATATGAGAGCCGTGACTCTTGTGCTCTTTGCCTTACCCCACCTGAGATGAGACAGTCGCATCATACGCAGGGATGTGGCAGGGCTGTAACAGCCAGGGGTTACAGTAGGTGCTACTGCCATACTGAGCCTCTTCTGTCCTAGAAACTTGAGTGTGGTCGGATAGCTAGGGTGGATATTAGACGTTTCCAAGCCACAGGTAGACTGCACAGTCATGACGCCATGCCACTCAAGACCAAACTAGGGTCACGGCTCCTGGCTTTTACTGTGCTGCAGCTCCTCTTGTTGCTGTCCAGGGTCCTCATAGAACTGATTAGGGCTCAGTCCTAAGTTCTGGCTTAGGAAAGTAGATCCTTTTCCCAGCCAGACTTCAGATGCTCTAGAAATTGAGTGTGGCCAACAATTGGATTATTCTCTCAGTCACTTGTGAGTCCCAAAGCCTTTTTAAAAGCCCAAACAATTTACCTTCTGTTTTATAGAGCATCGCTAAGACAGACCATAGCTGAGTGAGCCATGTAGTTCTTTTTGGTGGGAAGAGATAGTTGGAAGAAGAGAATGTCATGGAAGAGTGTTGTAGGGACCACTCTTGCTTGTATTAGTTGTGCAGCTGCCTTATCTAGCATTATAACATTGTGGACAGTTGATAGCATTTATTTCCTAAATAGCATTCCCAGTTTGCTGTGCTATTGATGACATGTTATTCTTGGGGGCTGTGTTTCCCTTCCCCCAGCCCATTCCATGAGCAGCTCATGCACTGTGCTTCAAACAGCCACAGGCCATTTTCTGTATGCTGTGGTGCTGATTTGTGTATGTCTACACGCCCTTATGTGCAGACTCCTGGGAAAACTGACCTTCTGCCTTCTTATCTCTCAAGGGGCCTTAACTACAGTATTTAGTTGGGAAACCCACTTCCCTCCTTATTAGAAGAATCTTCTATTAAGAAAAGGCCAAAATGAAATCTGTCATTTTGACAGTTTATTCTGTCCAACGGCTTAAGTAAGTTTAAAGAAATAAACCAGTTATATTGTGGAACATGAGGTAATTTAGAGTGGAAGGTTTTTTAAATCCTAAAATTATGTAGCACCAGACTTAATCAAGTGACAGTTCCTTATCCCATTCCCTAAAGAAAATTGAAATAAAACATTTTAAAGACCAAGACCCTGTAATGTAAACATTCACTACTTTCACAGTCTGTATCATATAAAATACAAAAATAAAATACTAAGCCTTAAAATGTGATTTTGTCGAAAAGTAACACTTGAAATCTTCCAGGTATATATATGTATTACAAAAATAGCATAAGCTTTTAAGTACTTTTTAAGTTAATAGACACATCTGAGGTAACAATGAAAGTTCTTTATTCTCTTGTTTTCCTATTTGGCAGAATTTGTACTTTTAGGAATTTAGATTTTAAGTTTAAAAGTTCTTGGCTAATCAAAAATCTTTCAGCTGTTAGGGCTGAGCACAGTTGCTCACAACTATGATCCCAGCTACTCAGGAGATGAAATTCAGGAGAATCTGAGGCCAGCTCAGGCTAAAAGAGTTATCTTGAAGCAGATTCAGACATCCAATTATTTATTGCATAAATATTTAAGTTCATATTTATCTATGATGATTTTAAAAAAATGATTGTAATAATGTTCACAGAAAAATAAAATCAGGACTGGGATGGAGTTCAGTGGTAGGGCACCTACTTAGTTTGCATGAGACCCTGGGTTTGATCCCAGCCACACACACACACACACACACCACACACAATTTAATATTAAGTTACCAGTGTTCAAATTTCTAATAAATGTAAAAAATAAGTTTTATAACTTAGAAAAGTTTTATAACTTGCAAGTTTTGCAAATTAGAGGAAAGTTTGAAGTTAAGATAAATATTTGTCCAGTGCATTTTAATACCTGCTTCAAATAGATTTTGCCATTGAAGTAAAATCCCACAGATTCTAACACACATTTTGCTTCCTGTCTTCCTAGACAGAAAACTTCTCTGGCAAAGTGAGCAGGTCTCTGCTCGGCTGGCCTTGGGAGAAGGCTCCTCTTTCACCGTTGCACAGCTGTCTGCCTGGTTGGAAATTTTCTGGCCTTTCACTCCTTGTCTTCAGGCCTAGGGACCCTGGACATTCTGTACTGAGGAAACAGAACACGGGTTGCACATGCAGAAGTCTGCCTTGCCTTGCAGTGGTGCTCTTAGGGTATAAGTCATACATTCATTTGGGGTGAGATGGGGCCGGTGAGGATGGGGAAGTTATTAACACAATTTATGTACACTTCTGGTGCCAAAAAGGACTGGCCTTGGAACTAAGCCAGTTTGTTACTTTGGGTAATGTGACTTGCTTTTGAGAGCACCATTTGACAGGGAAAGGACTTCTGTTAGCTAAATAATCCATTAACTGTATCTCCCTAAGAAGATACAGTTAGAGCAATAACAGCCTAGGAATAACAGTAGTCACTTAGAATTGTGTGCAGGTCAAATCCCGTTACAACAAATCACAGCAGGATGCACAGATCCCTTCCTGTCTTGAAGCTTTTTCTACAGAGTATTATTAATATGTAGTGTATCAGGTTATAGAATTTTTTTTGTTCTTAACTTCCCTTGGGGAAAAAGCACAAGGAGCATTTTAGCCTCATCCACTGTCCTAATTAACACTCATTTTCCCCTTTGGGAGCAGGGGCATGGGCTTGTTTGCCTTGTGCGTCACCATGCAGGAGCGCTCCAGTATCCATGCTGCCCGAGAGGTAACAGCATCAGCTTTGCTTGGTGCTTTGGGGAAGCACTGACAAGCAATAGAAGGTGGAGCCCCCATTCATTAAGAATTAGACCGCTGTGAGAAGACCAGGGGCACGAGTCTAACTTTCATCGTAGCTGGTGACTCCTCCCTGAGGCTTGCTCATCATCCAGTGGATGGCATCTTTGTAGCATTTTGATTTTTATAGCTTTCATTGTAATGGGATTTAACCTGAGCATCTTTCCATCAGAGAAATGCAGATTACACAAAGGAAAATGCCATAGTCCCGTTTGTACTTTCTGTACTTCGCTGTAGTGTACTTAACTGTATGTTACAGATGTTATTGAGTAGGTATAAGTGAAAGCATTAAAGAAACCTTTTGCAGATAGCTTTATGAACATGGATGTTTATTTTGTTTACTTTTATGAAGAGTAAGATAAACATGTACTGTTAATACAAAACATGCATTAAAATGTGAATGCTATTTTGGTGTGTGACCAGTGAGAATGGTTGCTTAAGTTGCAAGGGTTTAGAATGCTGCTAGAGTAGCTGGTGTTGCTTAACGTGGCATTTTTTTCCCTGTCCACACTTTCCACCCTTGGTGCAGGTATTTTTGATAAAGCTGTGGAATGGAAAGGTATGTTTTTCATGGGATGTTCAGGAATTTGTTACCTTAAAATTCTTTCAAGGAAGTTTCCTTTAAGGGATTCCTCTTGGGTCTGGCTCAAGCAGATTTAGTTTAATTGTAACAATTGATATACTTTTTTGAGGCAATAGTTGAGTATAAAATTTTGACATGACCCTTAAGTTTCTGATTTTCCTTTTCCCTTTTCCCTTTCCCCTTATTAAAGACAGTGTGAGGGGTTTAAAGCACGTGGGTGGGGGTGGCTTGGAAATACATGACCTGTGCCCTGAAGAATGTGGTCTGAGTGTTGCTTATGGTAGTTGACAACCTAGTATGTTGTAATTATGAGAGTCCTGGTTACCAATAATTTGCAATTTCATTGAGGAAAGTGATAAAAGCAACCCTTAATATATGATGAAATCAGGTCATTTTAGGGCCTTTATTAAATTTGCAGTCCTCTTTTTGCTGGAGGAGCAATTCAGATTGAGTTGTGACTGGCTGAAGTGGAGGGCTAGTCTGGAGAGAGGCAAGTACACAGAGCCTGTGCCAGTTTGCCTGCCTGCACAGTACTTTTTTCTGTCCGCATTCTGTGCCAACCATGGCCATACATAGGCTTGTTGACACTCCTGTCCTTGCAGGTTGACTTGAGAGAACCAGGTAGCTAAATTGGTGAGATCCTCGGCCTGCACTTGTCTTTAGAAGGCCCGGTTGGAAGAGCGCACTGTAGTGACTTTCCTCTAACAATGAAATTGTCAAAGGTACATGGGGACGGCTGGGCGACGCGCAGCTGATTACTCTCAGCAGCACATCCCTTTTCTTGCAAAGAGATGAAGCACTCTGTAAGGCGTTGACACCAGTGCTGGAGGCTGCTGGTGCTTTTAGACCACGCCAGTCACATGGGGGCCAAGAAGCCCTTGTTAAAGATCTGTGAGGTTTTGTGAACCCTGATGTTCTGCTGGTTGCAGAGTTAGTGCTGCTCAGTGTTCCCCATCTCACCGGAAGTGTTTGCTTTTTCTCATTCATAGAGGTCCTGTAATAAAGAGGGATCCGAACAAGCTCAGAACGAAAATGAATTTCAAGTAAGTAACTCAGACCGTTCTGCATCTGCATGAGATGGAAGCTGCTGGCAGCCAGCTTGGCTGTGCTGCTGTTTGGCAGGGCCTCTTCTCTGCCCTTGGAAACTCCTAATCTGTCTTTCTAAGAGGAAGAGCTCTGGGTAAATGGGAGGCGCTTCCCTGAGACTGAGCAAGCAGTGGGGCTTCCTAACCTCCTGCAGGGTTAGATAGTGAAGTTGTCTTTATGGCAGTGTTTTCTAAAGTGTTTGCATTGCTGAGAGATGGAGTTTTGAGCAACATTTCTCATAGTTGACATGAAGGCACCTGGCTTCTGCCGCAGCATCTCTCATCTCCTGTGGCTGTTCCCTCGCCTCTTACCTGGAAGCTGGTCACTGCCCGGTTGTTTTAGCGTGGCCACTCTATTCCTCTGGGGAAGCAGTGGTGTAGATCCTATGCATGATGACCAGATTGGAAAGGCTTCCTGGAGTCAGACGCAGCTAAAATGACACTGCTCTCTGAGATGCACACATGCAGCACACAGGATCCACCCTTGAGAATGGCACCTTGAGCGTTCTCCTGTGCGTGTAGGCTTAGAGGTAAGCTTGTGCATGTTCATAAGCTCATTGGTATGGCAGGACTGTGCCTCTGCCATCTTGAGAGTCTAAACTTGAGTGTGCTATTGCTGCCTCCTGCTGTCTCACTGCACCTGCAGTGACTGCCCTGTAGCATGGGGCTGGTTGCAGCAGTGCCACCGGACATCTCAGGTGCACCTGTCCCATCTGAGCCCTGCCCTTGACACCATCAGTCACTGCCACATCTCCCCTTCCTCCCACAGGGAGTCTGATTCTTCCTGTGATCCTTTAGTCAGTGCAGGCAGTCAGAGTGAAAGTGGAGGAGCTAGTTTTGACCCCTTGTTGAGCCCCTTTGTCTTGGTCTACAGACCCCTGCAGCTTCTGCACAGTGCTCCTGAGCCTCCCTGGCCCACAGGACCTTCCCTCACAGCCCCCTCCACAGGTTCCTTCGGCCACACGTGGGGCAACTCCTCCTTATCCTTCTTCCAACCATTTCTCCCCCATCAGAAACCCCAGGTTCTCGGAGGTGCGTGCTTTGCACTGTACCTCTCCATGTGGCCCCAGTCCCTGGGCTGCCCACCCTGTCACTTGCCCTCATTCTGTGAAGACTTCAGTGTGCAGCTCTGCTTGAGTCCATTCTGGTTCCTGCCATCATTCTCTGGCCTGTTTTCAGCCTCCTCATCCCTACCAACCTTTCCTCCATTCCTCTAGTCCTTTCCTGATGTCCTCTCCCATCATCCTCTCCCAGGGTGTACCCTGATTTTATCTCCAGGAATTGTGTCCCCTCTGCTACTGACTTCATATAGTCCACTTCTGTTGACCTCTTCGACCTCCATTTTCTCTCGCTCTGTCAGTCCTCCCCTCTCACCCTCCGTCCCTCCCGCCACCTTGTCCTGCCCAGCTGTGGCCCAAGAGCCTTGCCATTCACATGTTCTCAGCTGCTTCCTCTACCTGCCTCCTGGGCGCTGGATGTTATAGAACTTTACATGGGTGGCTTTCCTTTTAGGGCCCAAGTGCACAGCCCTAGGGGCGTAAGCCCTGCTCGGGAACCCATGGAGTTTCTCCTGAGGCCTGGCTTTGTGATTCAGAGGTCTCTTTCAGGCCTTCTGTTTTCTTCTCAGCCTCCTCTGCCCTCACCGTAAGTGGGCAGTAGAACCTGTTTTTAATGGTGGCTTCTCTCTCATCCCTTATCCTTCTACTCTAAGCTCTTTGTGTCTGCATCTCTGCCACTGCCCCTCCCTGTTAGAGGATGTTCTTCCCTGTGTTCCACACTCACTTTCTTCCTTGGGCCTGACTTCCTAGCTTATCATCATCATTGTTCCCTTCTCTAGGGGGCAGGGTACTCCGTGCTTATGCCCTCCTAGCCCCCATTCCATCTCCTGTTCCTCTTCCTGATAAGATTTACTTTTTCTTTTTAAAATGTAAGTATTTGATTTTCTTATCTTTCATATATTTTTATTGGCAAGATTTTTGGTGCTAGTGATTGAGTCCAGAGCCTCTGCAATGCCGTCACTGAACCACTCCTCCAGTCCTGGCAGGGTTCCTTGAGGCAGAGTTTGTTTGAGTCTGTGAATCTGTCCCTGCTTTCTTACTTCCCAATTCCCATTTTTTTTCAAAAAAGATTTATTTTTTGTGAAAGGAACTTAGGGCTGAGCTAGTTAGGCCTCACTAGCCACACTAAAATCCTACTTTATTTCATTTTTTTGAGAAGCCCCAGGGCTTCAGGCATCAGTCTGGGCAAACACCTGCAGCTCCCTGATCTCCTTTTCCAGAAAGAAGTCTTGAAAGCATGAGAAAGGGTAATATAAATTTATTTCCACCATACACAATTACGTTTTCTTATATTGCTTGTTTTTGACCTTTTATATCAGTTTGTGTATGTATTTATTTATTTATTTTAGTAGTAGTAGGGGACGAACTCAAGGCCCCACTCTTGGTAGGTAGGCAGTCTATCACTTGAGCCACTCCACCAACCTGAATTTATTCTTAATTTTTTATTTCAAACAAATTTTAGACTTATGGAACAGATTGCAAAAGTAATAGAGCGTTCTCCCGCACCCCTTACCTGGTATCCTTTATGCCATCATTTCACATAACCACAGCACGGTGATCAACAGAGCTTTAGCATTGGCGCCCTAATAAGTAAACTGCAAACCTTTTTTAATTCAAAAGATTTCCACTACATGCTTTCTCATGTTCTGTCCCAGGAGTTAGCCAGGATCCTGACACTGCGTTTGGCTGTTTCTCCTCAGTCCTTCTCATCTTATAACAGTTCTCCGTATTTGTAGCCTGGATACGTGTGAAGGGTGCTGCTCCATTACTGTGGAGAGTGTCCCTTGGTTTTGATTTGCTCAGTGTTTCCGGTGATTGCAATGGGTTATTTGCGCTTTTGGCTAGCCTGCCACAGAAATGCTGTGTTTTTTTTTGTTTTTTTTTTTTTTGAGGCTCATAATAATAGTGCTGTTACTAGACTTTAACTTCTTCTAAAAAGTGAAAATTTATTTAGGGATGCTGGGGTTTGAACTCAGACCCTGATGTTTGTTAGGCAGGTGCTCTACCACATGAGCCACTCTGTCACCCCTTTTTTGTGATGGGTTTTTTCAAGATAGGGTCTTGCAAGCTACTTGCCAGGGCTAGCTTCAAACCCTGCTCCTCCTAATCTCTGCCTCCCCAGTAGCTAGGATTAAAGGCATGAGCCACTGGAGCCTGGCCAAAAAACTTTTATAGGTAAGATCACTTCTGTCCCTGTCCAGGCCCCTCTACCTCTTCTGTTCTTTTTGTACCTGTTCCCATGTGGTACCTGTCCCTGTCATTCCTGAAACTGTTCTTGTTTTTGTTACCAACAACTGCTATGTTGCCAGGCCCAGTGGCTACTTTCCTCTTCTGCTATTTGACCTCATTTGTCACAGTGTCACTCCTTCCTCCAAGCAGGCATTGGACCGCCTCTTCCTGCTGCTGCCCAAATTTGGATGTTGTTCAAGTGGAGGGCTATATGCCTTTAAGGGGACATGAATGTCAGTGCTCTTCAGACAAGGTCTTGCCATGTTGCCCAGTCTTGTGTGATCTCTTGAATCAGCCTCTTGGGTAGCTGGGACCACACATGTGAACTGTACGTGGCCTATAGCTTTTTAAAATGAAATGGGGTAGAAAATATTAGGGAGCATTGCCCAGTTGTGAGGGTATTACCTGTATAGTATTTGGGGGCTGTGTGTGTGTGTGTGTGTGTGTGGTTTGCTGTGTGCACACCTTTCTTGCTATGGTGGCAGTCTGTTTGGAAGCAATTGTACTAAATGTTGGGGTTCTCATGCCTGGTCTGGTTCCTCTTCTGTCGCTGGGTGAGTTCGCCCAGCTCATGAGTCTTAAGAATTCTCAACATGTTGAGGACTTCAGAGTTCCATTCCTTTGCCCAGATGTTTCCATAAGCCTCGCCTGCTCCACAGGCTGCTCCTCCTCTTTCTTTGTCCTCTTCTTTCCTCCCATTGCCCTGTTCCGGCTGTACTGCCCTCCCACTCCCTTCAGTGCATGAACTCCAGGGCTGTTCACAGCTCCTCTACACCTCTCTTCACAACCCCAGGATAAGACTGACCTCTGCATCACTTCAGGGTTGTCCTCTTAGTCAACCCTGTCATATGCTGTCACTCCATCCTTCCATCCCTTCATAGCTGCAACCCCATCTGGAGTTGCATTCACTCACTTATTGTCAGTTTCTCTCTAGAATGTGAGCTCTGTGCAGGTGTAGACCTGTGGGGCTTGTTCTTTGTTTCCTGGGTGCTTGGCACAGTGTCACATATGTAGCAGACATTCAGTAAGTGTGTTTTGAGTGAATGCATGAGTGAATTTTTATTTCTGAAGCCAAAGTAAATAGTTGAGGAGTTGATTTCTTCTGAAAAAAATAGGAGCAGCTTGTGACTGAGCCAGGGCCTGGTGTGGAGGTGTAGACTACTGCATCTGTTCAACCCACTTTAAGCCCTGCTTTCAGCAGCAGCCAGGAAGGGCTTTGGAGACTCTGTGGTCATAAGGACAGCACGGGAGTTGACAGTCCTGCCTAACCTGTCCATTGTGCTTCCTTATGCCTTGGTACTCTCGCTCACTTTCTCCCTCTCCAGGTTCTGCCTTCTACACACCATTCCCCTCCCTTCTTGCTATGACTAAACACTAAGTTGCAGTGTTACATAACAACGAGTTTTTTGTTTACAATGGTCAGAACAAGGACAAGAGAACTTGAAAGTGCTGGGCGCAGGCTGACTGCTCTGCAGAGGATTCTGGAGAGTGTACCATCCAAGTCCCAGCAACAGTGCTGTCACACACAGATAAAGTCAACTCTAGAATCCTCTGTTCTGAATGGATAATATGTGTGAAATGCTGAACTTACTAAAATAAAAAAGCAGCATTTAAACCTATGTATAAAAGTTGAAATCTCATACTTTAAGGGATAGCTAGGATTGGATAAGTGTATGTGCTGTACACTGTGCCAACCCTGGTGCCTTTCATCTCAGTCACTCTACAATGTGACAAGTTGGAAAAGGAATTTAAATTCTAACAAAATTCTGAGTGCCCAGACAAAAGAAGTCCTAATTGTACTCTCTGGAAGTGTGAGAAGCCACTTCTCTGGAAGCCACAAATGGCCTGGGGTAGGGCTGAGGCCAGCACCCTCTTGTCCTGTGATGTCCAGGGTCTGCTTGACCTTCTATTTTAAATACGGGCAGTGTCACAGTCCCCAAGCACCAGGCGTACTGCCCAAGGCAGCAGCAAGCATGGAGCGAAGCCGAGGAAGATTGGCAGACCTTTGAGGGAGCCACCCTCTACCCAGGGAGGCAGTCACTCTGAGGTTGAACTAGAGGTCAGACAGGGCCACAGTGACTGTCCCTCCTGGGCAGGTGCACAGTGGGAAACATTTTGCCAACTAAACGGAGATATTAGGTATTGTCATTCTTTAAGGGCTTAAGAAATAAAAATTGAATCAATTCCTGCTCTAAAATTCGTTAATTTGATCCAGTCAGTGCAGTATGTGTATTGTCAAATACACACATCTGCAAATTAGTAAATAAAGACTGATCCCCCAAGGTGAAGGTAGGCTGTAACTGTGGGAATTACCAGTAAATCCATCTGTCCCGCAAATGCAGAAGTGATGAATTATGTTTTACTTGTATGTAGCCTTTTAGAAGTAATTTTTTCTTTCTTCTTACTAACTCTAGCCTTCCATTGTTGCCTGATGAGTTTGTCCTCTTGGCTACTTAGTCCTCTTGGAAACTCTTAAGTCATAATTTGCAGTTTAAGGAAAAAAGACTAGCCAATGAATTTGAATTGAGACAAAAGGATGGAGTTTGAGGGCAAAATCTCTATTTACCCCACATTGGTTATGGTTATTAAGACTGACGTAGAACCTAGGAGCTTCATAGATACTTTAGCCAGAAGACAAGTCTTAGAGTAGAGAAAGGGGCTAGGGTAAGAGCTGAGCCAGAAACCTGGGATGCCACAGACCCTGGACCTAAATCAGTAGTTCTCAAACTTACAGGACTCACAGACGGCAGGCAGAAGACCTTTGGTCATGCGCTCTTACTAACCAGAAGGCGAGTCACTCTCACCAGAGCGGGCGCTAATGTGGTCTTTGGTAAGAGGCCAAGGGTGACACCCATGAGCAACAAAATAAACAGAAGCAGTAAAAGCACTGAGAGATATTGTTCTGTTTTTGGAATCAGTGACCTGAATTAAGCTAGAACTTCAGCTCACCCATGTAGTATGATGCTTGCAAGCATGGATCCTGCAGCCTTGAAGCTGGGGACTTCAGACCTCGCCATTCCTGTTTATGAAGGGGTGATGATATGCTAGTGCTCACAACACAGAGTAGTTGCAAGACTCAGACGCAACTGCCCCTGAGAAAGCAATTCTGACACCTGCTCAGAGCACATACTCAGTAAACACCTGCTCAGAGCACATACTCAGTAAACACCTGTTTTGTTGCCATCTGTTTTAGGGGGCTGAGGCCATGGTTCTGGAGAGCGTTATGTTTGCCATTCTCGCAGAGAGATCACTTGGGCCAAAACTCTATGGTATCTTCCCCCAAGGCCGACTGGAGCAGTTCATCCCGGTAAGATCTGTGCGCAAAATGGTCAATTGACATGAGCTGCAGGCAGAAGATGTATTCCTTGTCTCATCATCATAGCAGGAACCTGAAATGTGACCTGTGTTACTCAACTGAATCAGAAATAAAACCAAAAACATTTTTGAGTATACAGCAGCAGAACCTCTTTCTTTTATAAGACATAGGTCATCCAAATTAAAATGTATGTGAGACTCACCATTTATTGCTCCTGCGCTCTCCTCTTCTGGGGCCTTCTTTCTAGAAAGCGCTGATGAGCACCTGGGCCCCAACACATCTGCCACTTCTCTGGACCAGTCCTCAAGGGCCATTGCCATTCTGTTCCCTTGTCTTACTCATCCTCCCTTTGCTTCTGCTTTCCCCTGCTCTGTTTTCCTATACTCACATGCCTGTCAGACTCCTTGGGGGATTCTAGACCTCATTCAAATCCCCTATTTACAAGCATTCAGGATTATTTTCCCTTCCTTGTCCTGAGCACCACCATCACCACCACTACTGGTGGTACTGGAGTTTGAACTCAGAGCCTCATGCTTGCTAGGCAGGCACTGACTGTTTGCCCCATGCCCCCAGTCCTTTTTGCTTTATTTTTTGAATAGGGTCTCACCTTTTTTGCCAGGCATTTCTTCTCCTTGCACCTCCCATGTAGTTGTGGTGGCAAGGTACAGGCCACCATGCCCAGCTTTTTCACTGAGATGGGGTCTCACAAACTTTTTGCCTGGGCTGACCTTGATCCATGATCTCTGCTTCACTGTGCCTGGCCTGTTTTTGTGGGACTGGGGTTTAAACTTAGGGCTTCACACTTGCAAAGCAGGCACTCTGTTCCTTTGCTCTGGTTATTTTGGAGATTGGGTCTCGCAAAGTATTTGTTCAGGCTGATCCGGAATGGCAGTCTTCCTTATCTCAGCCTCCCAAGTAGCTAAGATTAGAGGCGTGAGCCACTGTTGCTTGGCTGGCCTGAGGCATTTTTAATGTTGCTCAAATGCTTGTGGTGTGCCTAGTCAACCCCTCCCCGCCCCCAACACACACACCCCTGCCCTGCACGTTAAAGGATGGCTGGGCCCTTGGAGCTGGCTTGTGTTTGACTGGCCATGCTGATCCGTGGCCTCTGTGCCCCCTCTAGTCAGGTTTAGAGACGGGATAAAAGATTCTGGTCTCAATGTAAGCTCAATGAAGACTAGGTTCTCTTTCTGCCCTGCCTCGTGGGCGTCTTGCCCACAAGAGGCTCAGCATACACAGGGCTGTCCTGCATAGCTGTGGGTGTGGGGCCCAGCACAAGGACATCTAGCTGGAGTGCTCTGCCTGCCAGGGCTCGCTCAATAAGCATCCAACCAGGAGCTGGGGAGAAGGGTTTCTCTGAGTAATCCCAGATCCCAGAACCAGGGTCCCCTGATTTGGTTTGATAAAACCAAATTGCAGAAAGCTACAAATAGAATCCTACCCTTTTCACAGCAGCCAGTAAAAACAAGTGTCGCATCCTGGATAATACTGGTGCTATCTGTATGAGGAGCAACCCTGAGGGTCTTTAGGTGACTGCATGGTGCCTTTGGTGGGCCACAGTTTACCAGGTGTCTGGCACCTGTGTGTTTTTATTTATAATTTTCCCAATAAAAACAGGAACATCTGTCAGGCATGAGAAATAAATATTGGAAAGAATTTTTCAATATAAAACATTTCATATGGTTTTAAGTAGAAATATGGTTTATTGGTTTTTTGTTTCTTTTTTACCGTATGGGAGTTTGAACTCAGATGCTCTAGATCTTCAGCCATGATACCAGCCTGTGGATGAATCTTAAGAACATAATATTGAGTGATAAAACCAAATGCAGACAACTATAAATAGTATCATAACGGTTTTTACAAGGCCCAAAAAAGCAAGTTTAAAAATTGTCTTTTAGCCTGATGTGGTGGCACGTCTGTAATCCCAGCACTGGTTCATCATGGTCCTAGCAGCAGTAGGCTAAACCATATAACCTAGATGAATAGTAGCCTATACCATCTAGGTTTTTGTGACTCTGTGGTTGAAATCACCCAACAAACACTCTGGGGATGCATCCATGTTTTTAAGCAGCATGTGACAGTACTGGCACTTTTGAAAGCCAGGTAAGCTGCCTTCATAAGTCCTTACTATCCTGCCGCTGGAAGCTGAGTCCCTGTCCTGTCACAGCATGGTGGCTCATTGAGAATGCTGTGGAAACGGTTCCAGAGTGGAGAGGAGTGAGCCCTTTGCTTTCTGTGACTAGCTTAGCTATAACCATGGCACACCTCTGGGTTGGGTGCACCATCTCTTCTACCCTCGTGGCAACTCATGCCATTCTCATTGTCCGGAAATGGCAAACAAGGCACAGAAGAATTAAGTAACTTGCCTTTGGTCATGTGGCTTTGAAGTGAGTATTAAAGCCAGAATTTGAGGGCTAGAGCCGTGCATGGCTCAAGTGGTAGAATGCCTGCAAGCTGGAAGCCTTGAGTTCAAACCCCTGCACCATCAAAAAGAAAAAGAAAAAGAGTTTCTCTTAACTGAAGAGCAGTCCCTCCTAGCCCATGCTTGCTGCTTCACACCTTCAGAGAGACTTCCCCCAGGGTCCTGCAAAGGTGCAGCTTGTGCGGAGAAGCTGGAAGTCCTCATGAACCACTGGGCTGCCCTGAGGTGCTGTGAATTGGCTGTCAGAATGGTCATGGCCTGAGGCTGCGTTAGGGGCATCGCCATGTCCAGAGGCTGGCTCTGTCCTCAGTGACTGTCTCCTTGTCCAGTGTGGTCCTCCAAAGCCTGCTCCATGCCAGGGCAGGTGCTGAGAACACAGAGCAGCTGGCAGTGGCCCCTCCTGAACTCACAGCTTCCCTGGAAATGGCAGAGCAGGGCACTTAGCTGAGGGGAGCTAGGAGCTTCGCCCCATGCTGAGCTGCTGAAGACAGGACTGCCTGTGCCAGGCGAGTGAACAGGCACACTGACTCTGGAGAAGGTGTAGACACATCACAGGAAAGGAGTTTTTAGTTCAAACTTGAGAAGGGGCTTTCTCACAGTAAAAAGGATGCATAATGACTTCTCTTACAGACAGCCTGCTTGGCACCATACAAGTACCATATTTGCAGGGTCACCATCTGAGGGGATAGTGTACACCGGCTAAGTCTTAAATGCCCTGTACAAATTGCTTCTCCTTAACATGGTGTAATGGGTCACACACTTGTCAGTCACTTGGGTAAAGGGCGATTTTTAACTCCCTTTTATATTTTAGAGCCGGCGATTAGACACTGAAGAATTAAGCTTGCCAGATATTTCTGCAGAAATAGCTGAGAAAATGGCCACATTTCACGGTATGAAAATGCCATTCAATAAGGAACCAAAATGGCTTTTTGGGACAATGGAAAAGTAAGTGGTCAACATCACTTGGCCTCATTTTTTACTGGTGGCTTGTGGTAGTAGCAGAACAGGTAGTCAGGTGCCCTTCTGGCTCACTAGTGCTCAGGCCATCATTCATAATGTCTCATGAGTATCTTTCTTGCATGAAGCAACTGACTTCCTTAACCAAGAAAGACGACTTGTTTGTAAAAATGTCAAGTGGGTGGGTGGAAAGCCAGCTTCCCCAGCCACTGTAGCTCCAGCTTCTGTCCTTACCTCCATCCTGGAAAGCAGAGCCTCCAAGGGATGGGCCTGGGCTGGCAGTGGTGCTTAGTTGTGAACTGAGTGCATGTTGTGAACTGAGCAGTGGTCCTCTGTCCTCCCCCTCCCCTAACAGGTACCTAAATCAAGTGCTGAGAATTAAATTTACTGGGGAGTCCAGAGTTAAACAGCTGCACAAGTTCCTCAGTTACAACCTGCCCCTGGAACTGGAGAGCCTGAGGTGAGTACTGGCTTCTTCTGACATAGGGAGCACATTGCCCACAGTGAAGGCCCCTTACTCTCCAAACTGCGGTCAGTGAACATTACTGAGGAACAGAGTGCGTTCAACATCTGGTGTGATCTGTGTATGCTGGCACTTCTGTCAGCAGTCCAGAAAGGCTCCAAGGAGGAAGCGGACTCTGAGAGTGGTTTGTTGCCTGGGACAGGAGAGCTTTTGTGGGATGAGGGGGGAGGGTAAGTGGATGAGAAAAAGGTTAAACCTAGGCTTTAGGGGACAGTAAGACTCTAAAGACTGATCTCTGAGTGGAGACCACCATGGGGACTCAGGAGGCTGGGTGCAGATTACTTGCATGCACGCTGACAAGTATTTGCATCATCAGTGTCTCAGATACTGGAGTATCTCCTGTGCCGGACGTATGATTGATCCTGAGGAAAGGAGGACCAAGACATTTAAGGAGCGCCTATGTTATTAAGGCAGAAGTCCAGCAACAGGGCTGGAGGTGTAACTCTGGCAAGGCACCTGCCTACCATGAGTGGAGCTCAGGGTTCCACCCCAGCACCACAAAAGAAAAGGAACAGGGCAGTTAATGTGGAGGTCCAGCCAGTGCTGCGAGGGACACAGGCCAAAGTAGATCACACGGAGGGTCTGCTTTTGGTGAATGGTCAGGGGAGACCCTCTGATGAGGACCAGCCCTGTGAGGAGGGGGCTGCCCTGGGAGAAGATCGGTGTGCCGAGTCCTGCATTGGGGGAGCTTAGAGTGCAGAGAGGCCTGTGTGGATTTCTGGGTGGCTGCAATAGAGTTACTGCCACATGACGACACATAACTTTCAGAATTCAAATGAAAAATGTCACACAGAGACCATGCATTACATTGGAGACCAGTACAGTGCTGAGACACCTGGCTGTTTACATATCACTCAACAAGCTTAAAAGGTAATAGTGACCTTCCTTTTTCAGGTCACTGCTGGAATCTACTCCATCTCCAGTTGTATTTTGTCATAATGACTGTCAAGAAGGTAAGAGTTGCCACTGTGTGTTAACCATAAGGTTTGTGCATAAGTGTCCTTAGCTTGCTGACAAGGGCATGAGACAGCCAGCCAATGAAGTGTTGTGTAACTGTTAACAACACTGGCAGTAGATCAGGCTCTGTACATGCCAAGGAAAAATCTCTGGTCTTTATTAAGAGAGAAAGGCAGGTTTTAGAAAAGTATGTACAGTATTAATCCATTTCAGTTAAAAATATCAAAATGTTTACATAAAAATAACCTAAAAGAATCATCACTAAACTTGGGAGTTGACATGAAGGTGTAAACTTCCTAAGTCATGTGTTTAACAACTCACGATGAATGTCTGGTGAAAACCATGACTTCTTTAGCCTGCAGAAGCAGTATTAGACCAAGATCACTGTCTCAGGCATGCAGGCTTTCTTCTCTTCTGCACCAAGCAACACATTCTAGCTTACCAAACCAGGCCCCCCCATTTGTCTGTCTCTCTTTTCCTCTCTTTGGTAGTAGAGTTTGAACACAGGGCCTTGTGCATGCTAGGCAAGCATTCTACCGCTTGAACCATGCCCCAGCTTTTTTGTTTGTGTATTCTTTTTGAGATAACATCTCACTAACTTTGTGCAGGCTGACCTCAAACTTGAGATCCTCCTGCCTCCACCTTCCATAGTTGAGATTACAGGCATGTACCACTATGCCCAACTCCACCTTTTCTCTTAGTATCAGTGCATACACCATTATGACTTTGGGTTGTTATAGTTTAGAAAAATTACAATAATATATTCTTTACTGTCACACAGTTTTACCTAGCAAGTTTTCCCATGTGATTTCATCAGAAAGTCTCACCTATAGTGCAGCTCCTGCTGATGCTGCTGACATCACCTGGCTTGCCTTGCTGTCCTCCTGGTCTGCCTTGTCACAGGTGGCTATAATTCCACCTCCAGCACTTCTTGCCAGGCTCAGAAGCTTTGTTCTGTTTTCAAGACAAGGTCTCACCATGATGCCCAAGCTGGCCCTGAACTCCTACGCTGAAGCAATCCTCTTGCCTCAGCAGTTTGTTTTGGTTCTAGAATAGTGAAGACCCATCACCAATGAGTCATTAGTTTGAGCCAAAATACCCTGCACTAATTAGCTGATCATTGTTGGCTAACTCTAGTGGAATAGGGTCCAGAAATTTCAGCTGTAGCTTAGGGTGGTGATGAGAAATGAGAATGAGAAATGGCAGAGACATTACCAGAGCAAGGTCAGAGACTGATCTGGAAAGAGGTTGGTGTTCTCAGTGATGCAAAGTGTAGAAAGGACAGAGATGGGAGCTGTGTGTCATTTTGTTCTATAACTTTGGGCATCCAATTCTTGTCGTTACTGCTGGAAAAGGGGGAGTGTGCCACAAAGCATAGAAGCTGAACCGCCCACCAGAAACCCTGGACAAGAGAGCGGCCAAAAAGTTAGCAAAGAATGGCGCACCAGTCCCCACCCCTACCCCCTACCCCCCACTTTACCCCTGCTCCACAGTGGTGAGAGGCTGGTTGTTGTCGGGGCATCTCAGGAACATGGGCCTGAAGAGCCGTGCTGGCAGCCAACCACCTCTTGCCCAGAATTCCTAGGGACACTGCCTGTCGTTGTTTTGGGAGGGAACCATCAGGCCAGGGACAAAGGCAAAGCAGTAGGGCTCCGTGGTAACTGAGCTGGGCCTTGGCATCCTCTCCAGATGGTGTGCTACCACCAGCAGGGTTTGGGAATCTGAGGTGAGGGGGGAGAACAGGTGGTGTTTTAAGTCCATCAAGCTCCGGGTGACACTGTACAAAACACTGGGGAGGTCCCGCCCCAGACAGTGGAGTGAGAGGCCTGGCTTTGCTCCAGTGAGCTGGGTGCCCAGGGGGACCAGGGTGAATGAGTGGGTCTAGAGCCTCTGCCTTTTGGCCTGCCCCCACAGCAGCCCATCTGCATTCTGTCTGTGCCTGTGATGTCTGCAGGACCACGAGCCGCCATCACTCAGGACTTCCCAACAGAACCAGAACCACTCTTCTCTGTGGTACAGGGACTTGAGCCTTCTGTTGTAAAATGTCTTGTCATCCAAATGTTTTTTTGCAGGTAATATCTTATTGCTGGAAGGCCGAGAGAATTCTGAAAAACAGAAACTGATGCTCATTGACTTTGAATACAGCAGCTATAATTACAGGTAATAGGTTACAGTGTGTAACTCTTACTATTGCTTCTGCTGTGGCCCTCTGTGAAATTACTGTGGCCGGAGACAGTGTGCTGAGCTGCAAGCCTCCTTCACGCGGCAGCAGTGGCAGTGCTGGTGGCCCTCAGCATAGTCCTGCGGGCTGTGGTCAAGCAGCAGCAGTCGCCATGCAGCATGGCGCCTCCCTTTGGCTGCCATCATGGTTTTCCTGTCTCTCCAGCACTGATTGCAGGAGCCACATCATACCTGAGAAGCCTTCGGTGACCTCTTTCTAGCTTCGGTTAGCTGTGGTTCTGACACTCACCTGATTGGCTCTGTGGTTAAAGCTGCCATACCTCAGTGCACTTGGGAAGTCTGGTGGGGACCCGAGGGCCTGCTCAGTTTTCACAGGGCCTTGTTTCTTCTTAGGGGCCTAAAGGTCCTGAGGTGTGCTTCACTCCTGCATTGTCCTCTCTCTCTGCCTCTCTTTCTCTCTCTCTCAGGGGATTCGACATTGGGAATCACTTCTGTGAATGGATGTATGATTACTCCTATGAAAAGTACCCTTTTTTCAGAGCAAACATTCGAAAGTATCCCACCAGGAGGCAACAGGTACGAGATTGGTTTTTACAGATTTGATAAGTTACTTTTATACACAAGCCAATTTTATATGGTTAGAATTAATTATATGTTCATTTTTAACAATGCCCTCCATTTATGTATTTACTCATACTTTTTAGTGGTGCTGAAGGACGAATCCAGAGCCTCTCCCATGCTAGGCAAGCGTTCTACTACCAAGCCCACATCTCAGCCTCAAGATGCTCTTTGTGAATTGTGGCATGGCTAGGCAGAACCTCTTGTTTATGTTAAAAAATGTTATTTTGGTCAGGTATAGTGGGGCATGCCTGTAATCCCACTACTCAGAAGGCTGAGACAAAGACAACCTAATTGGACCCTGTCTCAAAATAAAATAAAAAGGCTGGGGATGTGGCTCTGAGGCAGCGCGCTTAACTACCATGCAAGAGGCCCTGAGTTCTGTCCCTAGTACGGGAGAAAAAACAGTTGTTCTGTTCTGTTAAATGTGGGTGCAGACTTGCCATTCTAGTCCAGCTTTTGGTACTTGTCTGGGCCTCATCCTCAGGGGGCGCACAGCCTCCTTGTAGTTCCTCCAGTGTTCCCCCAGAGCCCAGCTCTGCTCTTCTTTCTAGGCTTCTGATTGGGGCGGGTGGTGGGGGCGGTCAGTAGTCTTCTCTGCTCATTTTCTGCTGTGCCAAGAAAAGTCCTCTTGGCCCATGATTTAGTAGCAGAAGGAAATGCCGGTGGTGTGAGCAGTTCCCTTTCCTGACCTGAGTTACAGGAGAATCAGTTCTCACGGGAACCTCCCGCTACCATTTCTCAGTCCACTGCTGAGGCTGTGGTGGAGGCCCTGTGGGCGGCCCCTGAGCCTGTGCTGTGCCTAGACTTCAGCTCCCCGTCTTGCAGCTTTGCATGGTGGCAGGTGTGTGAGCTGCTGCAGGGTATTTGGTGGCACTCAGAGCCCTGCACCAGGTGAAGCGTCTCCAGGAGGAGGCCCGTTCTCCAGGGCTGGCCGTTCAGATGTGGGCTTGCTGAGGGCTCAAAACTAACTGCTGTCTATCTTCTGGCCACATTTCAAGGCAGGTGGGGGTGGACTTGAACATGTCCAAAGGAAGGCAGCCAGGATCCATGAGAAAGAAGAGTGGGAGACACATTTATGTTAGTAAATTGGCAAGGTTTTAACTCCAGTCTGCTTGGCCTGCAGAGGAGACAGTCACAGTCATAGGGTGTCTGAAGTAGAGTGACAGGCAGAAGAGAAATTGAGACCTATAAAAACGGGTAGTGAGGGCTGGGGGCCCTGAGTTCAAACTCCAGTACCACCAAATCAAAACAATTCGAGGAGTCAGAACTATCAAGCTAGTGAGGGGAGCTTGTTGGTGAGAGGCAGATTTTATTTTACTGAAAGGCAGAAATACAACTGCTGAAACTGTGTAGCAATATGTTAAGTTTAAAGAAGTTCCCTTCTAGCTACATTTCCTGAAAGGTTTCAGAGACACTATATGGATATGAGGACATTCTCCATCTGTTGAGGGAGTGTTGTCTTTTTCTTTCTTTAACCTATCATGGATATTGAAATGTGTAACCCTTCCTGTTTGGAGATACACTCTGTTTGTTATTTTGTAATGCTTTGGTGGAACTTTAAGGTTAAACTTTTCCTCCAGACTGAAGTTAAACTTTGCCAGTTCATTAACATAAAGGCATAACTCACTGAGTGCCTCCGTGTTGGAAGGCACTTGGCCTGCTCTAGTCCAGCTTCCTCAATGAGGGGACGCCTGTGGTGAATGCTGGAACCCTAGAGCCTCAAGCCTGCCATACTTGTGGCAGTGGCATGCAGCGCTGGTCAGTTCCCTGCTTTTGAGATCAGTGAAAAGGCTGGATTTCGTTAGAAAAAGATGGTTCTACCTGAGTTACTTTCTCCAACAGTAATAGGGATCAGCCATGCCAGGTCACTGCTTGGGAGGGAGCTGCCCGGCACCTGGGACTCTGCAGGCTTCTCTGAGGCAGGAGGAGCCCAGTCACAGTGCCCTGGTGGCTGCTGGTGGAGTGTGTCTTTAACTGTCATCGGTTTAATTCAGCTATCTCTTTTTCAAGCTCCATTTTATTTCCAGTTACTTGACTACATTCCAAACCGATTTTGAAAACCTCAGTAGTGAAGAACAATCCATTATTGAAGAAGAAATGTTGCTTGAAGTCAATAGGTAACATTTGTCTTTTTTCTTTATAAACTGTTTTGGGATGCTTCCTTTAGTACTGAGCATATAAGGGTGGAGATGGTGACCTGGCCCCACGCTCAGTCTACTCCCTGCACTTGGTGGGATGAGGTGGGGTTCAAACACCTCTCCCAAGGGAACAAGCTTCCTCTGACCTGCAGGGGGCAGCAGGTGTTCAGGAGCAAAGCACAGCCACCACATCTTTACCTGTGTCCTGAGAATGCCACTGTGTATGCTGGCCAGGGGTGGGAAGAGGCCTGGAGTGCATTCCCACTGTTCTGAGTCCCTGTAGAATATAGATGCACTCCCACAGAGGGGCCAAGGCAGCGTCTGTATCCAGATGGGACGTCTGTTGCAATGGAACAGCATGAAACCACTTCGTCCCGTCATGACTGACACCACACAGCTCATGTGCTTCTCACTTTTGTGATTCCAGGTTTGCCCTCGCCTCTCATTTCTTCTGGGGACTTTGGTCTATTGTACAGGCCAAGATTTCCTCCATTGAATTCGGGTACATGGTATGTGAGAAGGCCAGTTCTTTTCTACTCTCGGGGGAATGACAGTATCTGTGAATGCTTGGCTGCAAGTGACAGTCCGTACAGAGGCCAATCTGTCCCCCCAAATCCCCACATGATGACCTGGTGGCACTAGGACAGTGTAGCTCTTTGAGCCCCTCTCACTGATGCTGCAGGTGCCTTTTGAAGTCACCTTGCTCTGAGGTCTGCCCTGCGCCCCCCCACCCCCTACCAGTTTCAGTCAAGTGCTGTGTAGGCTTGAGGTCTAGATGTGGCATAGGGAAATCAAGACCTAGAGGTTCAGCCCGACCTCAGTCCCTTCTAACATAAGGGACTTTAAGTGACACTGGTGCCCCCATGCTACATAGGTTTTATTCATGTTACTATTTCACATTCCAACCTGGGATGCCCGACTTTTAGTTGGAAGCTGAATTAGAACTATTTTTCACAAGCACTTTTGTAACCAAGTCAGGCTGTCATTTATTCTAACATTAAGAACTGTCTTGAAATAGACACATTTTTAATCTTTAGATACAGCCCTGTGTTGAGGGGGTCATCTTTCAGTGAGGTTGGGGCACGGCAATCAGGAAGATCGGAGTGTGAGGCCAGCCCGGGCCAAAAGTTTGCCAGACTCTATCTCAACCAGTGGCTGGGTGTGTTGGCACAGCCTGTCATGCCAGCTATGTGGGGAAGCGTAAATAAGAGAATTGCGATCCAGACTGACCTGGGCATGAATTAAGACCCTATTCCAAAAATAACCAACACCAAAAGGGCTGGGGACGGGCTGAAGTAGTAAAAGCACCTGCCAAGCGAGTGCAAGGTCCTGAGTTCAAACCCTAGTGCCACCAAAACAAAACAACACCTGAAAAGAAAGGCAAATGCATAAAGAGGAGTTGTTACCTCCCCTCAGAAACAGAGCAAGGGACACCAAGCAGTGGCAGGGACGGACAGCTTGATGGTGACATTCTGCCATTTATCTAGCCCCCAACAACCACACACTATATCTTCTTTCCAGGTGAATAGGGTCCAAGCATATGCTGGTTTCATAAATTTCAACAGATCAAAATAGCAAAGGTTATCTCCTCAACACAACTGAATTACAATCAACAAAAAAAGATACCTAGAAAATGCCTAGTTAATTGGAAAGTAAACTACACTTGTGGATCAAAGAAGGAAATTAGAGGGAAAATCAGAAAGTATTTCAATGTGAATTATTATAAACATAGCATATCAAAATTGGTGGGATGTGGTAGCTGAATCAGGGCTTAGAAATGCAGATTTACAGCTTCCGTGTTTGTAGAGATAGGAGGAATCGCTAGTGCCAGAAAGAAAAAGCTCACAAACCTTCTCAAGTGACCTAAGCTTCTACCCTAAGGAGCTAGAAAAAGACCAAATTCAATCCTAAGTAAGTAGAATGCAGAAAATCATTGAAATACAAAATACGTTGAAAAAACAGAGAAAATAGCGCTGGGGGAGTGGCTCAAGTGGTAGAGCATCTGCCTAGCAAGCTTGAAGCCCTGAGTTCAAACCCCAGAACCATGAAAAAGAAGAAAAAAAACCACCACCAGAAAAATCAATGAAGCTCAAAGCTGGGCTTTTGAAAAGACTGGTGAAATGTTTCCAGGTTTGGTGGTGCACACTTACAATCCCAGCGAACTGGGAGTCTAGAGGAGTGTGGATCAAGACCATCGTGGCCTTGTCTCAAAATAAAAAAAGGCTGGGAACATAGCTTAATGTTAGAGCACTCCCCTAGCATGAGCAAGGCCCTGGGTTTGACCCCTAGTACTGAAGAAAAAGTAAAATTTATAAATTTCTGGTTACACTAAATATGAAAACAAGAAAAGGCACAAGGGCTGGTGGAGTGGCTCAAGTGGTAGAATGCCTGCCTAACAGGCATGAGGCCCTGAGTTCAAACTCCAGTACCACCAAAAACAAAAAGTCCTTCCTATAGAGTACACTGTAGGTCCAGATGGCTTCCCTGGTGAATATTGTCAGACATTAAGGAAGAAAGAACAGTAGTCCTATAAAAAGTTTTTAGAAAGGAAGGAGGAGGGGACTTTCCCCAGCTTATTTGGTGAGGCAGCATAAACCTGGTACCACCATACACAGATGTCTCGACACTACAGACCGGTGCTCTTCTTGCACATCACACAGAAGTTCATATCAAGGCTTTGTAGGTGGATGCCAGTGGCTCACACCTGTAATCCTAGCTACAAGATAGGAGGATCACGGTTTGGAGCCAGCCCAGGCAAAGGGGTCACGAGACCCTATCTCAAAAATACCCAACACCAAAAAGGGCTGGCAGAGTGGTTTGAGTGGTAAAGCGCCTACCTAGCAAGCTCGAGGCCCTTAGTTCAAATCCCAGTACTGCCACATAAAAAAAGCTTTGGCAAGGGCCGTCACATGGCTCAAGTGGCAGTGCATTTGCCTAGGTATGCATGAGACCTGGGTTCTTCCCCAGTCCAAAAAATTAAATCCACTAACGTACGTGAAAGGACAATATATAAAGTAAGAATGAAAAATCAATGTAATTCTTCATCTCAGTGAATGCAGGAATAACCCAGTCATCATAAAAAGTCTCTAGAAATAGGGTAGAGGCCGAGTTCAACCCCCAGTACCGCAAACAAAACAAAACAAAATCCTCTAGGAATAGAATCAGATAAAGGGCTTGTAATACTGGGATTCAGCTAACATCCTGACGATGGTAAAGAATGACTGCTCCCTCCATGCCAGCACCAGGCTCAGAGCAAGACAGGACGCTTGATGTCACTTCTCCATGCTGCTGGAGTTCCCAGGCAGTATAGGGCAGGACACAGAGATGAGATGCTAGACAGGAAGAAACTGCTTTATTTTGTAGATGCACGTTAAACTATACTAAGGGCCAGCAGAGCTAGCTGTTTAACAAGTGGGTTTTTCAAGGTTGCAGGATAAGATCAGTATACAAAACGCAGTCACATTTCTACATTCTAGAAACGATCATGCGTGTAAGTGTGCTAATATGGTGTAAAACTCGAACTGCTTAGCGTGTGTTCACACACACACACACACACACACACACTCTTTCTCTCTCTCTCTCTCTCTCTCTCTCTCTCTCTCTCTCTCTCTCTCTCTCTCTGCTGGGGTGAACACTCTACCACTGAGCTACATCCCCAGCCCAGGGATGCGTTTTCAAGCATGTGCGGAGTGGAGACACTGAAAACTACGAAGCAGTGGGCGGGAACTCAGCACTGACGCCCATTCTCCCCAGACTGATCTGCATTCTCTCCTTAGTCCTACTCAAAATCTCTATAGGCTTCTCTGTAGAAATTGATGTGCCAGTCCTACAATTTATGTGACTATACAGAGATCCTAGATGATCTCTGCTCTGAAGCAGCAGCTAATGAATTTTCCGTAAGACAACAGGAGAAAAGTTTGGGGACCCAGGCAAAGATTTCTTAAGTTCCATAAAATGCCATGTAAGGGAAAAAATAGTAGGACTAGAGGTGTGGCTCAAGCAGTAGAGTGCCTGCTTTGCATATGTGAGCCCTGAGTTCAAACCCCAGTCTGAAAAAAATAAAAAGGGGGAGGGGGGATAGTGCAGCTGTCCCTCAGCCTGAGTAGGTTATTGGTTTTAGCACCCCTCATGCACAGATACCAGAATCTGCCCTGCTCAAGTCCCATATAAGCACCTATGTTTAGAAAAAATATATATTTATATATATATATATAAATATATAGTGTGTATATATATGTAATACATATATATTTATATATATATATGGTTTTTATTTTATTTACTTATTTTTGTTGTACTGGCATTTGAACTTAGGGCCTACACCTTGAGCCACTCCACCAGTACAGCCCTCTTTTGTATTGGTTTTTTTCAAGATAGGGTCTTGTGAACTATTTTCCCAGATTGGCTTTGATCCATGATCCTCCTGATCTCTGCTTCCCAAGTAGCTGGGATTACAGACGTGAGCCACCATTTCCCAGCTGTTTAGAACATATTTAAGGAACTTATAGACCTCAGCAAGAAACCAGACAACTCACTGGTCACCTTCTGCTATACTTGCTTGGCCCGGCGCCTTTTGCTTTGAAAGAGGAAGCAAGAGAAGGTGGGTGTCAGGGCTGCTTGCACAGGGCGAGATCCCAATGCCAGAAGTCCTTCCTTAGTGGACAGCTTGGCTGCCAGGTAGCTGTAAGCCGACAGTTTTAGTGTAAAGGTGAGGACAGTACCATGAGCATGGACAGAGAAGCCTTGGGAGTTGCTCTGCGCCTTCAGTCCCAGGCGGGTGGCAGGACGGGGTCCTGGCAAACAGTCACGCTGAGGCCTCTCTTCACTGTCTCCCAGGACTATGCGCAAGCGAGGTTCGATGCCTATTTTGATCAGAAGAGGAAGCTCAGGGTGTGACTGGAAAACCCCACCCCTTCATCAGTGGACCACGGGAGGCGGCCGAGGGGGCCTCTGCACTGTGACCCTGCACCTGGGCAGGAAGGCCTCGGACGTCTCACTGCTGAGCACAGATGTGTATGATACTAAAGACTGTATTAAAGTGGAGTAACATTTCTTTCCTATCTCCTTTACGATCTCACTAGGACTCAGAACCGCGATTGGGAAGCAGAAATACAGCCCATGGTGCAGTATCTCAGGCCTTTCACCTGGAGGAGGCAGTTTGTGTTTGGGGCTAAGGCTTTCAGCACAAGGCCCACAACAAGGGTGGGCAGTGTCACCAGGGCCCTGCAGTTAGCTTAGAAATTTTTCATTTACGTATCGGAGCACGTGTAACCAGGCTCTCTGTAGGTGGCGATGTGTTGTGGACAGTCTTAGGCGCGAGTGGGTGGATGTAATGTGCAGTGGCTCCACAGGCTGCCTCTGCAGCGAGCAACCACTGTGTCTCTTAAGCTGTGTGCCGGTGGGCTGCCCCGGAGCTGCTCAGTGGCCACCCTCCTGTGACAAGTGCTCAGTCACAGCCTGAGCCTCCAACCCAGCCCTCCCGACTCTGGCTGCAGGCTGTGTGGGGTTCCAGGGAGATGGCCGTGTGGCCCAGCTCCTCCAGCTGCTCTTGCCTGCCTGGAGCTTGGGATCCACACCATGGGTGGCTTCCCCAGCGGAGCCTTCTGCCCAGGGCCAGTATTCCCTGTCCTTGGTGTCACTGTGGGAGACAGCAGCCTGGGTGGGGGGTGGGTTTGCAGGCCAAGTGGAACTGTGGAATCCACATGTACTAATGTCAATGACAAAATTCTTTTGACTTTTTATTTACTCTGAGCTTTTGGATTTTTTTTTTGTGTGTGTGTGCATATATTTCTGGTACCAGGGACTGTACAGATAAATAAAAAAATGAAAACCCAACCTCAGCTGTTGCCCAGCGTGTGTCTAAGCCCAGCAGGGCTCCTGCAGCACTTGCCCTGTTGCCCTCTTCCTCCTCCTGTGACACTTTGTTCTCTGGGTCGACACATTCTGGTTTCCTTCTGGCCTCAGGGTCTGCCCTTGAGCTCCAGGGATCTTACCCAGCACTTGCCCCAGGATGGCCCATCACCGTTTAACCTGACTCTGATGTAAGGAGCACCAGAAGCAGGAAACCGGGAGTCTGGCTATGTCTGAGGAGGGACTTGAACCTGGGCTGTTCACTCATTTAGACACATTGATGCAAATGATGGTGCTCTCCTGTGTAAGGTCCCACAACTGCTCACTAAGCACCAAGAATGAAGATGCCCTGAAGTCACCTGCCTCTCATTGGCTCAGCTCCAGCCACACTACCTCAGACACCCAGCTGGCTTGGTTTCCTCACCAGGAGGTGTTTGGGTCAGGTCCCCAGATGAGAGGCTTTCTCATGTCATCCATCAGCTCAAAAGTTGGCCCTCACACCTTTCTAAACCTCTGTGCCTCGGATGTGCTGCTCCTTAAATCACCCTGGCAAACCCCACCCTCCCTGCCCACACGGCATACAGCTTTTCCTAGAATTCTGGTTGGCTTACTCGTCTGCTTGTGTGAGCAGGGGTCAGATCTGATCTGGTCTGGTCACACCCAGTCCTTAATGCAGATGACCCACTCCAGGGGTGCCAGCTGGTGTCACTGTATGCTGTGCCCATGGCAACTGGACTCCAGCCAGCCCAGATACCTAGGTGTCGAAGCCAGGGAGGGGCCCACTGGTGTGTTCCTGAAATCCCCTCCCCTAGCTCTGGACATCTGCTCATCTGTCACCCGCCCCCCCCCCAAGGTTGGCCCAGTTCTCCCCAGGAAAGGGTAAGGGTTCCGGATCCAGATTTAGTCCAGGTCTGGCCATAGCCTTGAGGCCTGTGTTCAACCTACGCCAAGCCAGCCTCTACTACCCACGTTTCTGTGAGCTGACGACCAGTCACGTGAAGCTGCCTCAGCACCCTTCATTCCCTAACCTAGCATCCAGGGGTTCTTAACCGAGCAGTCCCGGATGCAAGGAATAGGCCCCTCCCTGCTGCTGGCCAGAGCCATTACTATGGGCCAGGCCACCTTGCTCACTGTGCCCAGGGCAGCTCTGGCCTCCAAGTGGCCATTGTTCCTGGGACCTCAAGCTGGAAGAACCACTTTGTAGTTTTTTGGGTGGAAAAATTAAGGCTTCTGAGATCCACTGGCTCCACCTCAGAGCTGTGGTGGGACGGTCTTGCCTTGGGCAGGGAAGGACTGGGGGGCAGGAAACGACTCAGAGCCTCAGGATGGGGAGACAAGGCTTTAGAATCAACTTGACCGCTGTTCTGACTGTCAGGTCCCAGGGCAATTCCCAGGCTACTCTATTTCAGAGCAACTCAAAACCATGGGGCTCCAGTCCCAGGTTTGGAACACCAACCAGAGGCCCATGGAGCAGCTACCACAATCCAGAGTATCCCAGATAGTCAGTCTGCATACAGGGATCGCTCATGCCCTGGAGCCGGCTGGAATCCACTCACTCACTCCACGCTAGAAGACGCTGCAAAAATCCCTTCTCCGCCCTCGTGCTGCCCAACCTCACCCCAAGACTGAGTCACTCAGTTACTGCTCATGGGACCTCACCCCGACTTTTCAAGGCCCAGGTCCCAGGCCAGTACCTCCCACCCCCCTCCTGCCTCAGCTAGGAAAGAGGGCTAGGGAACACCAGCACAGGGACTGGCAGGGGCCAGCCAACCAGAAGCCCGAAACCCAGGCCCTGCCCATCCTGGCTTCAGCCTAGCTGTGGTGTCCCAAAGAGGACCAAAACCCAGTTCCTGGCCTGCCAGCTCTTTATTCCTCCCTGCCTCAGGGAGGTAAGGATGGGATAGACACAACCCACGATGGGCGCTACTCATCTTCCACGGAGAAGGTGAAGGGGCTCAGCTTGTAGCCAGTGCCTGCATAGAACTTGTTCTGGAACTCCACCCTGGGGGCGAGAAGGGGAGGCTGGTGAGCGGAGCCCATTTGTCCCCCACTGCCCAGGCCAGCCAGGTGGGCGCTCACCAGTGCAGCCGCAGCGCGTGCAGGAAGGCAGAGAGACCCTCCATCACCAGCAGGATGGCCACCGTCATCACAGCGAAGGCGGCAAAAATGGGGACGAGCACCACAGCCGCCACACCCACCTTCTGGCCCATGACCAGGCCCACATGCATCACCATGGACCACAGGACCTCGGACAACTCTACAGGAAAAGGAGGGGACAGTGCAGCCAAGGGCAGGGGTGCCCGCCAGCTCCCTGAGCAGTCTGAAGCCCTCCCTGCCTATGGGTATGGGTCTGCTGAGGGACCCCTTTAACAGCCTTATTTTACAGAACAGAAGGGGATACCGAGGCCCAGAGAGAAAGGACTTGCCCAGGTCACTCAGCTTGCAGCTATGTGCAAGCGAAGCCAGGGTCCAGGTCACCCATGCTGCCCACTCCTCGGGGAGGTCACTCACGGGCGTGGGCCAGGCTCAGGGCCCAGAGGCGCAGGTAAGAGGCTGTGTTAGAGATGCAGCCCAGGCAGAACTCGATGGTGTGGATGGCCTGGTGCATGAAGACCTCGGAGGGGACAAACTGAGGGCAGGTGGGCGGCAGTGAGGGACCAGCAGGGGCTGGGAAACCCCAACCCCCTCACGGAGGTGCTGCACCTACCTCGTCTTCCTTGTCCTCCAAACACCCTGTCTTCTCCTCATCAAAGCCACAGCCATTCTCGGAGGTGGAGGCCTCAGGAGAGTCCAGAAGCCTGGCACTGCCCTTATCCTGGGAAGGCAGGGAACAAGCAGCATCAGCAGCCCCCCGACGGCCCACCGAGCAGCCTGCTCAGACACCCAGAAGCCTGCAGGGAAGCCAGGGTTGGGGACACCTGACACAGCCTCTCCTCCCACACAGTCCTCCTGCCACGAGCTCTTGGTCTCTACCTGTTGGCCCTCGGGCCTTCTCCATGAGTGGGGGCGGCGGCGGTGCCGGTGCAGCAGGTACAAGGGTGTACCCAGCAGCAGAACAGGCACCGTGGCCAAGGCCAGGACCACCAGTATGTACTGTACCACTTCCTGCAGGCGAGAGAGTGAGTTAGGGCCTTGCAGTGCACATGGTGAGTTGCTCAGGAGCTTGGTCACATCAGTTAAGGGCCTGACAGCTTCAGTCCCCCAACCCCAGTGTCCTTAAGTGACAAGAACCCCTGAGAGAGGGACCTCAGGCCTGCAACACCTACTGAGGCCCACTCAGAGCTTTAGGCTGTCGTCTCCAACCGCCAGGCCTGCCTCCCTGTTTGTCAGGCAGCTAAGTGGCCAGTGACTGCTGGGTTCCCAGGAGGGGCGCTGCCACCCCTGCCCAGCCCACCTGCCGGGGGAAGAGCGGCTGGTTGGTGGCACTGTGTGAGAAGAGGAACATGTTGATGAAATGGATGAGGATGCTCGGAGCCGAGCTGGCATTGGCGGGCGAGACACTCAGCCACTTGTAGACGACCAGAAAGACGAGGTAACCGAAGAGGCCCAGGAGGAAGACGAGCTCGGGTAGGGTCTCCAGCAGCAGCCGGTGAGCCTGGCCAAAGTGCCTGAGGGGAGCAGGTGGGTCACACAGGCCCCCTGCCATACACAGTCACCCATGCCCACTGGCAGCCCAATCCTCACACGTGGTTGAAGACTCCGAGGAACACCCCAAAGGCCATGTGGGTGACCCCCAGGATGACAGACATCTTCATCTTGAAGGAGTTGAGGAAGCTCAAATGGTTGGTGGCCAGGCTCCAGATCTGGGGTGGAACAAGGGCCAAGCACTTAGGATCCCTGGCTACTGCTGCCAGGAAGCCCAGCTCTCATCCTCATGCTGGCCCCCTTGGGAGCTGCCACAGTGCCCTCTGTCACCACCGAGGGGGCAGCAGGAGTGGTGGTTGAGAGCATGGGTCATCAGGTGACTTGGGCTAAAGCCCTCGTTCTTCCCAGCTATGTGACTTGGGCTGGTGGCCTGGGATCTCACTTTGCTCATCTGCACCATGGGATGCTGATGGCACCCAGGCAGTTGTCACGTGAACCAGACATAAAGTCACTTCACCTATGGGGTTTAGCACATGTGGGGACTGCCTCTCTGCTTACCTGGGTGACAGTGGCAGGCCTAGCACTGCCATCAAGTGCCTCTAGGGCACTTTCCCCTGTAGCCAGCCAGGGCCTGGCTCAAATGAGGCGCTGGATGTCAGTTGCTGAATGGGGGAGCCCTGGCCAGCCCTCCCACCTGCCTCCACCATCCGCAGGCACAGGACTCACCGGGTCGATGCCAAAGGGATAGGGCCCCAGGAAGACGCCGGTGACATTGGGATTCAGGGTGAACAATGGGTTCTGAGACAGGTACGTGTCACTGTAGTAACAGTGGGCAGTGGTCAGGCCCATGGGGCAGGCTGGGGGCCATGGGACAGGTGCGGCAGGGAGGGAAGGGGGCTCACTTCCATCCTGACTGGTTGGCCATGGCAGCCACACTCCAACCCGAGGGGAAGATGACGGTGGCGCGGCTGAAGCACTCATTGTAGATGAAGCCGGTGTAGACGGAGAACAGGCCCATCAGGAGCAGGAGGTAGCGGCCCCCAAAGAAGGTCTGCCAGATCTGGGGGGCCGGTGTGGTGAGGGGCTGCCCCGCCCCTGCAGCCCATCCCTGCCCAGTGCCCACAGCCCAAACCTCATTCTGTGCGGCCTTCACAGCCGGCCGGTCCTCAGCCAGCACCATGGCCAAGGCGAAGAGGAACATGAGCAGGCCATGGCCCACGTCGCCAAACATCACAGCGAAGAGGAACGGGAAGGTGATGATGGTATAGGGTGCTGCGGACAGAGGGGACGCAGTCAGCCAGGGCCCCCTGGAGGACCTGGCTTGTGCCTCCTTGTTCAAGTTGCCACCGAGGCCCCCAACCCAGCCTCTGGGACTCCAGGAACCTAAGGGGTGTTTGCCAGGGAAGAACTTCCTGGCATTGTAGAGCCTACCACTGAGCTGCTGGGTGACCTTGGGCTTGCTACTTAAGTAACTCCTCTGAGCCCATTTCCCCCTCTGTGAAATGGAGATGACTTTAGTGTCACTTTGCAGGGTTGTAATAACTGAGTGGCCATTGGCAGGATCTGGTAGAACCTAGGCTCGCCATAGAAATCACTTCTAGTTATCACTTCTCATTTATTTTACTTATGTTTCGAGTTGGGAGTCTTGCTATTTTGCCCAGGCTGGTCTTGAACTCCTCGAAGTGGTCTTCCTGCCTCACCCTCCCGAGTAGATACAGGCAAAAGCCACCACAGCTGGCTTCTCTTGTTATGTTTAAGAACAGTTTTAAGCAGAACCACAGGGGCAGTCCTGGCAGGCACCAGGCAAGTTACAGAAGGTAGAGCTGGTCACTTAATCCGGAAGTCCGCTTTCCTTCAGTAGAACGGGGAGAATTTTGGCATGGGTTGGAGAGGATTCCAACATACGTGCCCTGTTAGGGGATGACTTGTGAGCTGGTATCCCAACACCCAGTCCCACAGAATGTGACCTTCCAGGAAAGGGGGTCTTTACCGAGGTGATCAGGACAATTGAGGCCATAAGGTGGACTCTAATCCAATATGACCTATGTCCTTATAAAGAAGAGGAAAAATGGACACAGAGGTAGAAGTAGGAAGCATGGACACAGCCATCTACAAGCCCAGGAGAGAGGCTAGAAGAGATTTTTGGGCTGGCAGAGGGGTTCAAGCAGAAAGAGTGTCTGCCTAGCAAGCATGAGGCCCTGAGTTCAAACCTTGATGCTAGAGAGAGAGAGAGAGAGAGAGAGAGAGAGAGAGAGAGAGAGAGAGAAAGGGAGAGACATTCTCCCTGACAGTCCTCAGGAGGAACCAGCACCTTGATCTGGTACTTCCGGTCTTCAGAATTGTGACACCATCTCTACCGTCTGTCTGCAGTGCTTTGTTTTGGCAACTTTGGCAAACTAATCTTTCCCCAAGGCCACTGCTTTGAGAGCTGGCACCATACTGCTGGCATTTGGTGGGTACAGGCTATCCTAGCTGGGGTGGAGGAGCCATGAAAAGGTGAACAGACAGGGACAGGACCAAGCCCGGGGATGCTGGCCCTAAGGGACTGTACCCCAGAACCACGTGGCCCTAGCCTGGGCCCCATGACTCGGACTTCATCCTCATCCTTGTCCTTCATCCTTACGTCCTGCTGCTGCCTCCTGGCGGCCAGAGAGCCCTGTTGCTCATCTGGGTGAGGCAGGGCCCTACCCCAGAGAGGCTCCAATAGTCACAGTCACACTATGGGCCAGGACCCCACCCAGTAGCACTAGGGACACTGGGTCCCTCCACTCTTCTGGTGGCACTGGCCACAGTGCATTCAGCTGCCATGGAAAGCAGCATGCAGGAGAGAAGGCACCCAGGCTCAGCTTCTCCACTCCCTGCCTGCTTCTCCACCACTGCTATCCTTTACATGTCTCTCCTGGGAGTACCTCCCTTAACCTTATAGACCACTTACACCAGGATGTCCCTATCAGAGAGAACTTGACACATCATTAATTGCAACTTCTTAAAAAGACAGTGTGGCCAAAGAAGTCACAGCAGCTTGCTGGTTTGGAGTCTCTGATGAATATTAGCCTTTTCAACAGTGTTGTAACCATTTTACAGACAAGGAGACTGAGGCCCAGAGAAACTAAGAAACTAATCAAAACAAGTGGGCTGGGCTTTAGCCAAGGCATTCCCTGTGCCAAGCCTCCATTCACTGCATAGACCCCAGCTGGGTCCCCTGTGAATTAACAAGGGGCCGTTGGCTCAGAGCAAATGTAAAACCGTATTCCAGGATGGATCACAGCAGCCTCTTGAGAGAGAGCATGGCAGGGCAGCGTGGGGACCCCTCACACCCCAGGCTTGCACCCCATGGCAGCAGAGCTCCTCCAGGGCCCTGACAGACACCCCCAGGGCAGGCCCAGCTCTCACCAGGGTTGACCTCCTGGTAGCGGCCCACGCCGTAGGCCTCCACAATGCCCTGGAAGCTGGCCGTGAAGCGATTGGTGCGGATGAGGGTTGGAGGAAGTTCCCGGCAGGGGATGCGGTGAGCCACAGCGCTCACTCCCGCCTCACTCTGGGGTGCCCAGGTGGAGAGAGAGAGGCCGAGGCTGGGGGAGGGGGCCTTCAGCAACCCTGGACTCCTCAGCCACATGCACTGAGGGGACTCACTGGGCGGGCACAGGGGCCAGAGGGGAGCCTGGGCAGCACCAAGTCAGGGGTACTTAGGGAGAACAGATTTCACTGGGACTGGCTGGATATTGCTTGAGAAAAAGTGTGCCCATCTCAGCGGGGCGCAGGGGAGCAAGCCCAGCCCCACCCACGAGCACTGCTCCACACCAGTGTGTGTGTGTTACACACACCCCACCCACGAACCCTACAGCACCATCAGACCCTCTGATCAGAGGCCAGGGCTCCTGACAGGCGCAGGGCATGTGGCCAGTGACTAGAGGCCCCAGCTTTGACCTACATTTCTTTTTCTTTTTTGGTGGCACTGGGGTTTGAGCTCAGGGCCTCATGCTTGCTAGACAGGCGCTCTACCACTTGAGCCACTCTGCCAGCCCTTGATCTAGGTTTCGGACTATAATTGCTTTATGCAGCCTGCAGGGGCTATGGGAAGTCAAAGGAGGTGGTTGGGGGGAGGCAGGGAGTGGAGCCATCTGGGGGACATTGGAGAAGGCAGCTGCTAGCAGAGGGAGCTCCCCCACCTCACCCCAGGGCAAAGGCAAGCACTGGCAGTGTGAGGTACGAAGCCAGGCAGCAGGAGGCACATGCGTGCCGGGAGGAGGGGAGAGCGAGGAGTGGGGCTCACCGAGCTGTCCTGCAGCGCCTGCTGTAGGGTGGGCAGGTCGCGGGTGGCGCACCACACCTCGGCGATGAGGCACTTGTGCGTGGTGCTCACGCTGCACTGGTTGAGCATCAGGTACACGGCCTTCATCTTGTGGATCTGCACCTGCCATGGTGGCAGCAGCAGCTGCACCCGGCCCAGCACCTGGCTCAGGAACCACTCAGTCTCCCTCAGGACCTGGAGCAGACAGGCCGGTCAGCAGGGGCAGGGAAGGGGCAGGCGGGGGTTCCACTTGAGGGGGCGCCCACCTCCTGCAACTCCTGGCTCTGCTGCTGCAGCTGCTGCAGGGCCCCGTGCCGGGCCTCCTCTTGCTCCAGGAACGGGAAGACATGGCAGTGGAAGCTGGAAGGGCAAGGCAGGATGTGTGGGTCAGTCTGTCGGAATGGGGGCAGGATGGATTTGGTGGAGGGACATCTTCGGGCCTGAGGCACACAGGGCCAGCAAGTACCCAGAACCAGGCTAGGGAGGGCTCTGAACACCCCTGAGGCCTGGTGACCAAGGGCAGGACAGCAGGGTGGCACCATGGGTGGCTCACCAGTCCGTGATCTTGCGGATCTTCTGTCCTATCTGCTCACCCCAGTAGGAGATGACGAAGGTCATCCATGTTGTAGGCTCACCCTGTCAGAGCCAGGCTCAGTTTACCCTGGAGCCTTGGCTCCACCCAGAATGCCCCCAGCTTGGTCCCCACCGGCTCACCGTCACAGGGTCCTCCAGCTGCCGCTCAGTCTCCCTGAAGCTGGCAATGAGGAAGCCGCGGCAGGCTCGCCAGAGCAGGCGTTCCAGGGCCACAGCTTTGTAGGGCTCCACAGCACCTGCCAGAAAGCTGCCAGCCAGGAGCTGGAGGGGGGCTCGAACCTCCCACCCCGCCTCGCCCAGCCAGGCCACCCCAGCTGGAAAAGGCAGGAGACCCCCAGGAGAAGGGGCAGGGGCTCAGACTGTGGAAAGTTCTAGACCTCAGGGGGAGGCAAGATGAGGGCAGGGTTACGGTAAGGAAAGAGCATAGGACAAAGAACTTAAGTAGGTCTGTCCCCAACCCTGGGTCCTATGGGAAAGAACAAGAATCTGCCGCTCACTCACTTGACCCTCAGATCCTGGTGTGATCCCCCAGGGGACAGAAGCAGTGGGGTTCTCTCCGAGGAAGGGCCATCTATGTGGGCAGCTGCCGGCTGGTTGCCGAGAGACACGATGAGCCCCAGCCCAGATGGGGCCTGGCACACCCTCCCTGCCCCGCCCAGTCCCTGCCCAGGCTGGAGCTGACCAGGGGGCCGTGGCTTTGGCCCAGCACGGCTGAGTGGAGTTGCAGCTGGTGCAGCTGGGCCCGCAGCGCCTGCTGGTTGCCACGCACTTCCCGCAGCTCTTGTGCCAGGCGATCCGTCTCCTCCTGGATGCGCAGCAGGTCACGGGGTGGGGGCGCGGGAAGCCTCCCCTCGGGCCGGGGCAACAGCAAGCCGGCCCTGTGCACCTCTTCCTGCAGGAAGGCTGGGCACAGAGCAGGTGGAATCAGAATGGCCACACTGGGTCACGCCAGCCAATGTCCACGTCAGCTGAGGACTGGCTGATGTCTGGGGGATACCAAATACACCCCAAACTCCATCACCGAATCAGAGACCCAGAAAAATCCTAAGCCAAGCCTCCAATGCCCAGGCTCTCTCCCCTCCTTTTGAGCTTAGGTCCAAGCTGCTCTGCAACTCATTCCTGGACCACTGCTACCCGGGGCCTGAGCCCCACTGAGGTCTCCTGGCAGACCAGCCCTAGTATTGCAGGGCCTGAGATGAAGGCTCCAGTGTTGGTCATCTTTAAGCTCAAGTCAGAGTGACATGCCACAAATAAAACCTGCTGTCTTCCTATCCTGGAAGAGGCAGGGGCTGATGTCGCAGCCCTGGGCTCTTCTGGAGAAGAACTGCCCAGGTACAGCCAGGCAAGGGTCCCTCCTCTCTGGACCTGGAAAGGAATTGCTCCCTGTGCCCACCCCGTCCTCTGCCCACACCTCTGGTCTGCTTTGAAACTCTTGTGGCCCCAGCACCCACAGGATAAAGTTCCAGGCTGTCCTCCAAGTCAGCCCTTCCCTGGTCCCCCTGTCAACCCACACAGGGCCTGCTTCAGGAACACCCCATTGTATCCCCTGCTTTGCCATGCTCTGCCTGCACCTCCCTGTTCTGCCTTCCACCTAGGTAACGGGGCTCTTCCCTTTAGCTTGGCCAGCACCTCCTCCAGGAAGCCTGCCTGGTATGAGGATCTGGGAGCAACTCACTGAAGGTCTTCTCCACTTCTTCACAGCGCCGGATATCCACCACAAAGCGTCTCTGGAAGGCGCTCACCGATGCATTGAGCTGCGGTGGCCACATGGTGGGATCAGTGTCCCAGGGAGGTCTCCAGCCTGGAGCCAGGCCTGGGGTTCAGACCTTAGCCACCCCCTCCCAACAGGTGGGAGCCCACATGAAGGGGAGGGCACGAGCCGGCACTAAGGAGGCCTCAGTCTCTCACCCACATCCGTTACAGGGTGGGCATCTCAGCAGCACTGCCCTAAGAGCGAAGTCCTGCCCCTACTCACGTCTCTGAACTCCACGAGGCCCAGCTCGCCCAGCTGGCTCACGCAGGTGTAGGCGGCAGCTGTGGGCAGGAAGAGCTGGACTAGAGCCACCTCCTCACTCCGGAACATGGAGCCCATGGTCCTGTGGGGCAGGTGTAGGGGACTTGGTCAGGGGTGAGTCACAGATAGCTCCTGACCTGAACACCTTCACTCACAATTTGGGAAGGTGCTGCTACCACCCACCTGACGGATGGGGAAACTAAGGCTCAGGAAAGGGAAATGGGGTGCTAAGGTCCACAGGAAGTAAGCAGTGTGACTGGGAGATTGCCCCACCAATTGTCCCCTGTCCCCACCCCAGCAGCTCCCAGCGACACTGCCTCTGCTTCACTGCTCTCTGGCCTGCCCTTCCCCTAGACCCTGCTCATCCCTAGGACGAGTGGCACAGGGACATTCTGATCCTGCCTTGCATACCTGAGCCAATGCTGTGACAACTGATGCCCAGCAGCAAGTCTACCTGTCTCCCTACGGGACATGAATGCTAAGGGGTGAGGGTGGCATCTCCAGAGTCTTCCGGGACTCAGAGAGGGTGGAGGGACTGCCTGGGAGGTGGTAGGGGAGGTTTCCCCTGATGCCCAGGCCACCTAGCTGCACTGTTGCCCCCAGGGATAGGGACTAGGGACAGCCTTCTAGGTGTTGAAACCAACAAAAGCGAAACTGTGAAACTGAAACGGCAGGAAGAGTTTAGCATGGCAGAGCTGCAGGGCAGGGACAGAGTGGCCTCCAAAAGGCTCTGCAGATGCAGAGCCAAAAGCTAGGACTCCCTCCCAGGGTCCCTCCTGCTCTGCGCCCACTGCTATTAGGCCCAGGGCCACTCTGTGGGAATCAGTGTCCTCAGCTCTGAGGTCAGGGGGAGGAGACAGGCAGGCATGGTTGAGGGCCAGTATGCCTGGCCTGCTGTCTTGGCCTACCCTACTGGCTACTTCCTCCCCCGGGGCTTGGTTACTTAACTCTGAATAGGAAACCACAGCCCCCGCCCCAGCCCCAGCCTGAAAGGAGAGAACTCAGGGCAGCCTGAGGCTGAAGAAAGGCAGGGCTCTGGACAGTAAAGGGTGGGCTGGAGGGGCTGGGATCGATCACCCAAGGACATGGCTCTGGCTACAGGGACCAGGGCTCTGGGTCCTGCCCACGTTGTGACAGGCTGTGTGACAGTGGGCAAGTCCCTTGCCCTCTCTGGGTGTCTACTTCCTCTTTGGGTGAATAGGACTTGGAGCGGGAAGATGACAAAAATAACAAGAGCTCCCACATAACTGTTTTACCTCTACCTCCTCACAAGAATCCCTAATAGCAGCCGAGCACCGATAGCTCACGCCTGTAATCCTAGCTATTCAGGACGCAGAGATCAGGAGGACTGAGGTTTGAAGTCAGTCAGCCCTGGGCAAATAGTTCAGGAGACCCTATCTCAAAAAAAAAAAAAATCACAGAAAAAGGACTGGTGGAGTGGCCTCAAGTGGTAGGAGAGCCTGCCTAGCAAGTAGCAAGTGTGAAGCCCTGAGTTCAAACCCCAGGGCCGCCAAAAAAAAGGGAGTGGGAAGGGAGAATGGTCGACTAAGGCTGGGAGGTGAGGGGTGAGGTCCAAGACCACATGGCCAGAGGATGACCCTGTAAGGCACGGGTCAGATCCAGGGCTATAGGCTTGGAAGTCTCAGCTGGGACTGGCCCCTGACTGCCCTCAATGGCGGTGCCTCCATCCACCATAGACCTAGCCACTCCTCAGCCTGGCGTGGCTCGGCCTCCTGCACTCTTGAAAAGAGATCCTGTCCTGTAGCCACCAGGACCAGGGCCGGACAGGCAGACACTTCCTGGGCTCGGTCTTCCCTTTGGTTTCTGTAATTCCTCTTCATCCCTGTGCCCTCTCCTGGTCCCTCTTCCAGACCCCGCCTCTCTTCCCAGCCCTAGCCCCTCAAGATGAGGACGGGGCAGGAGGAAAGGGCCTGCCGCCCCCTCCCCAGATTAGAGGCTCTGGCTCGCCTCTAGCTCTGCCACTTCCTGGTTGACTGGGCCTCACTTTCCTCGTCTGTGGAATGGGTCCCTCCCTCCGAGAAGATGCAGCAGGGAGGCTCTGAGCCAAGGCCTGGCAGAGTGGGGCTCAGAAGTTGTTGGGGTGCCACCCCCTCCTCCGGCCCTTTACCGCCGCCTCCACGACCGCCTGATACCGGCCGGGTGGCCGCTGGAGCTGCCTCCACTTCCGCAGCTGGGTGGGGCGCCAGGACCCCGTCCCGAGGCAGGGTTATTGGGGTGGTGGGCGGAGCCGGGGCTCCGCAGACCCGGCTGGGCACTCACCGCGGTGGGCGCGCCGCTCCGCTCTCCGTAGCCTGCTCTGCTCCCCCACCGCCGGCACGCGCAGCTCACTCCAGCCCCATCGGGCGGGCGGGCCGGGGGCGGGCCCAGCGACGCCACGCCCAATCCCGACCAGGCCCCGCCCCCTAGCCCCAAGCCCCGCCCCCGGCGGCTTGAAGATCAGAGACAAGGCCAGGAGAGGAGAGCGGTGAATGCTGACCGCAGCGGCCCGGGTCTGCCCAGTTTAGGAATTGGGTCTCCCCTTCCCTCCCGCCTGGAGGGCTTGGTGACCCTGTGGATGACGGAACCCCCAACGTACTCAGGCTGCTGGGCCTGGGGTCCAAGGCCTGCCTCTGCTGCGTCCCCCCCCATACACTCCCCCACCTCTGCGACCTCTCCCCCTCCCCTGGTGCTCACATCTTCGTCCTGGCCACCCACAGCCGGACCGGGCTCCAGGCCAGTGCTGTGCCCTTGTAGGAGTTGGGTGTGGGGTGGCTGCCCCTCTCTGGGCCTTTCTTCAATGCCAACAGGACATTGAGGGCCAGGCCACATTGTGTGTTGTGTGCTGCCCAGAGCTCTGCACTCAGCAGGCTAGAAAGTTCTCCAGGAGTACAGCAGGGACTCCTTGTCACCTCCATGCGGTTCACTGGGGCCAGTGCCTGGAAACTGGGACTACCCACCATCCAGCTGCCTGCACTTTGGTCAAGCTGGACTGTACCAACTGGAGACCAGAGAACCAGGGGCCCCCAGTTCTGATAATCTTTCAACTCCATACAGTAAGCACAAGCCTCTGAGATGTGGGAGTGGGGAATGCAGCCTTAGAGTGAGGCCTGGGAACTGAGTCACAGTCAAGGTCAGCCTCCCTGGAACTGAGGACACATGCTTAGGATTCATAGGTCTGTTCTGACCTGAAGTAGGAGGGACCCTCAAGGCAACCAAACCGAGTACCAGAGGGGCCACAGGTCGATACTTCGTGGTGCAAGGGAAACGGGAACCCCGTCGTTAAAGCCGCACTCCCGAGGAGGAAACGCAGCGTTATCAGTAAGAACCAAGTTACGGCTGGACGTAACCTGGCCAACATCCAATCCAAGTATTCCATCTACCCGCATACAGTAATGACTGAGTATGGGATGTCTGGGAAAAGCTAAATTAGAGGGGTTTAGATTCCTAAGCCTGCCTCTTGGGACTGCACCCTTGGGAAGAGGTCCTGCCTCCAGCAGCCTCCAGTATCAACAGTGGCCCGGACAGGCAGACACTTTCTGGGCTCTAGTCTTCCCTCTGGTTCCTACATTTCTGCCTTTCCTGTGTCCAGTTTTATAGGATGTGGGGGCCACAGGGGATCAGCAGTGCGGCCCAAGCAGGGCCTCTGCCGCTTCTACACCAGATCACAAAGGCTGGCCTGGGAAGTAGCCCCAAGTGTCAGCAGAGGATATAAGAAAAAGGGGCTCCCTGGGAATGGGCTAGAGGAAGACTGGGCTTCTTTGCAGCACGCCTTCTCAGAACCTTGAATGTTTAACATGCTGTGCCTGCCTGAGGAGAGAGGCCACTTGGGGGCATTCCCCACACTTAACTGGTTCATACAACACCCTCCCCCTTCTTTCCAAGATGTGTCATGGGAGACTGATGTCTTATAAGAAGCACTTTTTTGGAAACAATGAAGGAGGGAACTCAAGGTCTCTCAGACCTGTTAGTTATTGAATATTTGCTATGTGACTCCAGCAAGCCACTTCACCTAAGCCCACTTCTTCATATAAGAACATGAAATCTCGGCACAATGCTTAGCACCAAATTCAAGGCTACTACACGGGCCCTGGGTTGGCATGTGGCCCCACGGGGAATCACCCCCCTTTTGCCGAGAAGTGGGAAGTTGTGAAGCTGAGAGATTAGGGAGGAAAGGGGATGTGGCTGAAGCAAGGCCAGCTCAGGGGCAGCAGGGCCTGTGTCACCCCCTCATGACTGTCACCCACAGCAGGCTTCCCCTTCCTCAAGGACACCCTGGCCTTTCTGAGTTCCTTAATGTACTTCAGCCTGAAGCCCTGGGAGGCTCCAAGTCAAAGGGTCTTAGTCATGGGGGCCCATAGGCCAAGATGACCTCCAGCCCTGCCACGCCTTGGGGAAGATGCAAGGAAGACACATGGGTGGTGGGGATGCCGTGGGCTGGCTCTGATGGCAAGTGCAGTCAGAGGAACCCACTGGCAGGCCTGGATGCACGACAGGAGGCAGAATCGGGGTGAGAGCTTTTTATCAGGCAGCAGAGGCTGTGGAGGCCGAGCCCGGGCAGCCATGTCACCGGTACAGGTAGTCAGCCTGAATGTTGGCAGAGATCTCAGCCTCCCACTTGTCCCCATTGTTCAGCAGCTTCTCCTTGTTGTACAGCAGCTCCTCATGTGTCTCCGTGGAGAACTCAAAGTTGGGACCCTGCAGATCAGGGCAGAGGTCCAGCCAGGTCCATCAGGCTCCTATCATGAGCCTCTGCCCTAGCTAACCCCACCGGGCCCCCTCACCTCCACTATGGCGTCCACGGGGCAGGCTTCCTGGCAGAAGCCACAGTAGATACACTTGGTCATGTCGATGTCATAGCGGGTAGTCCTGCGGCTACCATCGGCCCTTGGTTCTGCTTCAATGGTGATGGCCTGGGGGAAGCAGCCACAGGTTATTGCCACACTGCCAGCCACATCAAAGCCCACTCCTACCCTGATGTCCACATGGATGCCCCATCTCCTCAGATGTCCCATCTCCCCAGGGCCACCCCTCCCACCCACCAGATTTCTACCCAAGCATCTGACTTTCTTCCTGATGCATCTCCTGTCCTCAAACCCCACTCCCACGAGGAGACAGATGTTACTGCTTTGTTCACCGCAGCCCTATGGTCTCACTCTGCGGTAAGTACACAGTGACTATTTGAACAACCCTCTGACTTAGGTCTACTTATCCCCCTTTTGTGGATAAGAATATTTGAGGGTCAAAGCAAAGGATCAGAACACAGACTCAAAAGTCACATCCTTAACTATGAGTTCCTGGACAGCCTTGTGCCAGCTGGGGGAAAAAAAAGGGTGTCCTGGGACCTCCATAGTCAGGATTGTCACCACTGCTACTGTTAGGGGTTCTTCCATGTACTCCCAGACAGTAGCTAGAGAACTGTAAAGCCCTGGACTGGAAGACCCAGGAATAGTCCAGGAGATGAGCTAGGCTCAGCCAGGAGCTCCAGAGTCACAGACACTAGCGGAAGTCACCATGTGGATGGCAAGGCCTGGGCCTCTCAGGGCTCCTGCTCGGCACACAGGGGATAGACCAGAGCCACAGGTGCATCTTTCTGTTCCAACACCAAGAGACCTGATTGCAGGTGGTCTGTACAAAACCCACTGACAAACCAAAAACCAGGCCTCCAAGGATCAGCTGTCAGGGACAGGGGCCTCAGCTGTGTACCTTCAGGTCCAGCCTGGGATGAACACACAGATAGAGCTCCTGAAACTTCTGCTACATCGAGAGAAAAGTGACACCTCTGAGGTCACCCCATAGTTCCTGGGCCCAAGCTTCACATGACAGAGCGACCCCCCAGGGCAGGATGTACGTGTGCCACACTGCCTGCTCAGACTGGAGGCTAGTGCCTACTGACTCACAGACTCAGCACTCAGCCACTGAGGCCTCATGGGTCCCTCCCACAAGGTAGGGAAGGAGACTTAAGGTGGGAAAGGGACATTCCTGGGGACACACATCAAGCAGGGGAGTCAGAGCTGGGGACTAGGGCTGTCCAGTCCCCTCTCTCAGGGGCAGGCTCACCTGGGCTGGGCAGATGGCCTCGCAGAGCTTGCAGGCGATGCAGCGTTCCTCCCCAGATGGGTAACGGCGCAGCGCATGCTCCCCACGGAAGCGTGGGCTCAGCGGGCCCTTCTCAAATGGGTAGTTGATGGTGGCCGGCTCCCGGAACAAGTAGCTCAGGGTCATGCCCAGGCCTGTGGGCAGCACAGGTCTCTGGTGGGTAGACCGCCTTCCTCCTCAGCACATCTGAGCCTGCACCCTGCCCCCAACCTACCCTGGCCCTTCCCACAGAGACCTACCTCTAATGAGTTCAGTCCACTCTAATGAGTTCAGTCCACATCAGGGTTCGAGCTGCCTGGTCGGTCAATGACCTCATGTCCATCCCTTCCTCCTGAATGTTTACGTACTCTGCAGGGAGGCCATGGCAAGAGGTCAAACAACTCAGTTCAGCAGGGATAGATGCAGCAGCTGGGCTCCCCAGGGCTTGCCTATCCCCAAACCTTTCCCCAGGCTCAGTGAGGGCCCTGGGAGGCCGGCCTTTGGCCTGGGCAAGCCTTGCTTACTTCTCTCCATATGTGGTTAGTCCTCTGACCGTAGGGGACCCCAAGCAAGGCTTTAAGGAGGCCCCTTGAGTGGGGCAAAGGCCCAGATGAAGAGGCTCAGGCATCCATGGCTCACACCTGGCAGCTCCCTCCCCATCACACTCAGAGGAGAAGCACTGACACACACACCCTCCCTGCAATGCTGGATTCTGCCCTGTGAATCACATTTAATCTCAATCTTCACCCTCCTTTTTAGAGTGAGGCTCAAGAGGGACCTCTGCCTGGACAACAATCAGGAAAGTCTAACCTAGAGGCCACCATGGTACTCACTATAGGTCGCTGTCACTGCACTGCTGTGGAGACTCCGGCCACTGGGATATCCTATAAGGAGAGGAGTGATGCTCTGTGGCTATGACCTCATGCCAGGAGACTGGGCTCCCCCACCCCAGGAAAGGCTCCTGGGTCCTACCTGTGCGTGCAGGATGGGCCAGAGCCCTCAGCAGCATGGTTGTGGTCAGGCAGCGCATCTGGGAACAAAAAAAGAAGGTGTGAGGTGGAGAACTTCTGGCACTGCAGGAGCCCTTAGCAGCACCCCAGATGGCCCAGAGCCACCCAGCCATCTTGTGCCCTCTTCATACCCCACTCCTGTCAAAAGGAGAGATGGTCTATCTGTTCCCGGGGGCACAGCACCACACAGCCCTCCAGCCTGACCCAGCTGGGCTGAGAGTGCAGGTGGATCCCAAATTTCTTGTCTCATCTCGTCAGAATCCATCTCTCCCCTCCCCGCATCTTCCCCGTCTCTGAAGCCACACCACCAGCACCTATCAAGAGCTAACTTTGTGCCAGGTGCTGTGTGAGGGGTCACACCCACTGTCACTTTATCAAGTGACTGACCCAAAGCCACACAGAGCGGGACCAGGGCCAGAACCTCGCCCTCCACTGCTGAATACTCTTAGAGTTTAAGCAATCCTCAGGGTCAAATTCCTTTCCCCACTTCAAGGTCGTCCTAGGACAGTCCTGCTCCCAGTCTGTAGTGACCTTGGGCAAGTGACGTGAACTGGTCAGTTTTCTCACCTGCAGACCAGGGAGATCCTGAGAATTAGGGCATTCGCACACGCCAATGGGATGGCACAGGGCCCAGAAGACACCCCCACCCCCACCAAGACGGTGACCTCTAGCGGACCCAGTTGAAGACCAGACTTCAGCTTCAGGCGCCCAACCCACCACCTTCTCCGACATTCCCCGTGACCTCTGACCCTACGGACGCGGGAGGGGAGGACGGCGCATGCGCCTTGTGAGGGTTGGCGTCCTTCCCTATCAGCCCACTACAGATAGAAGGACGCAGAGGCCGCAGGTCCACAGCCAGCCGAAATACGAGCCTCAGCGCAGAGGTTACAGGGTCAGGGAGAACATCAGATTCGCCCCTGACGTCGCGCTGCTCAGGCCCAATCTTAAACTGCAGTGCCCTGAACACCCACCTTGAAACGCTCCTTCTCTGGCCGAGCGGGCGGGTCAACCGAGAGGCGGATCCTAACTCCGGAACACTGCCATTGGGCCGGCTGGGTTCGCCTTTTCCGTGGTGACCCTCCATGGTGTGTTCTGATTGGTCAATGTTGCTCCTAAAAGAGGCGGGATCTATAAACATTTTTCGTCTGGTTGGCTGCTAAAGCAGCAGGCCCTTGAGGTTTTGTAGTGCGCCGCCATGTTGGTTCGAAGAGGCCAATAAGGGAGGACCTCGGAGCAGTTGGAGGCGGGACATCCGGGGCGTGGCTAAGAAGTGGTTCTGGGTCGCGGTGGGAGCTGGCGTCCAGCCAGCTCAATGTGGCTGCGATAATAACCGCAACAGCGATGAGAACCCCAGCAGCAACGCGCGGACACCTCAGCCGCGCTGCTTCATCTGGTCCTCACAGCAGCCCCGTAGAGAGGATCCATCACTAGCACTTCATTCTGCATCTGCATCCGTGTGGCTCGCGAGTCCTGAATGTCCTCTCACTAAGGGCCTTTCTTGGCGTTCTGTAGTAGAGGGACCCGCAGGGGCTGCGTACACTGAGACGCCCCTGAGGCAGGCTGCGTGTGTTGTCCGGGTGGTGGTCAGGGAAGGCTTCCTGGAGGTGATTGTGCCTAAGCTGACGGTAAAAATGGGGCAGGTCCAGCGTGTGAAGAGGACAGAGTGAGCGAAGGTAGACCCGTGTCCGGGACTGTTGCAGAAGCGGGACTTGTGGACCACAGGGAGCCACGAAGGGGTCTCAGGCAGAGGAGTGACATGGTCCAGCTTGGGAGGGTCCGTAGGTGAACTGAGGAAAGATCCCCGACTGGGGGAGGGTGGGCGATGGCCCGCAGCAGGCCTGGCCCTGGCATCCTGATTTGGGTATGAATGGGAGCTATCCTGGGGCTTACAGAATCACCAGGGCTTGGGGTGCCAAGTGGGAGGCCAGGATGTTGGCTTTGGCTGCCGAGTGAATGGAAACCTCGAAGATGAGGCCTCAGGAAAGGAGTAGGAGTCCCCTGGGTAATGCTGCAGATCCAGTGTGCAGAGAGGTCTGAGCCTTACCTGGCAGGACAGAGAAGAGAGAGGCAGCCCCATCACACCCCAACAGAAAACGCAGGACACCTGGAGATTGGGGTTAGTAACTCCTTAGTTTAATTCTCCTAACAATCTCTAGAGGTATCAATTGTTCATCATCTCCACTGTACAGATGGGAGACTGAGGCTCAGAGAATGCAGGGATAGCAGATCACAGAGGTCCCAGGGCTCCACAGCTGCACCCTCCACAAGAAGGCAGGTGGCTCAGAAGTGCTGTGTCTGCCCTCTTCCCCAGCTATGGTGACTAGCATGGGGAAGGGGTGGGTTCCCACACCTTTTCCCATGCTCCCACCCTCAGCCATCTCACTGGGGAGCAAACCTTAAAGGGAAGCCTCTGAGGGGGGAGGGCAGCTCTAGTCTGAGCTAGTCTCCTGGTGCCCTGTACCCCAGGCCACCTCTGCAGCAGCTACATGGCAGGCAGAGCACCTGAGGGTCTCAGAGCAGTGTGCAACGGCAGCTGCAGTCCTCCATGGCCAGCAGCAGCAGCCTCAGGTTGCGTGGTGAGTAGGGTGGGTAGCGGATGTCATTGATCTTCTCCATTCCTGGGCTGCGCAGCAGGCAGGCACGCTGATGGGAGAAGGTGTCAAAGGAGAACTTGCCATGGTACCTGCCTATTCCACTGGCACCTGTACAATAGCACAGAACACAGGGTCAGGCCCTCAGTGGCCAGCCAAGGGGTTTCAGGCAGACCTGGGTTCTGAGCTTCAGTTTCCCCATCTGTCCAGTGGGCTAATCATAAGGCAGTGTGGGTGAAGGACTGAGCCCCAAGCCTGGCACTGGCACTATCTTAAGAGGTTCTGGGAACACCAAATCCTGGGGTAGGATAGGCAGACAGGGCACAGATTCTGGAGCCAGACTGCCCAGGGTTGAGTCCCAGCTCTGCTTTGAAAAGCTATACCACCTTGGGCAAGTGAATGCTTCAGTTTTTTGTGAAAAGTTTGTACAGGAACTAGGTGAGTGGTCAGACCTGTAGACTCCAAAAGTGCTGTGTCATTAGGAGTTCTCAGTGTCTAGGAAGGGAGGCTGACAAAGACACAAGCCAGGAAAGTCCAGGGGACGTTGCCCTGGTAAAGTGAACGTGGGCTTCCTGGAGTGAGAGAGGCTGGGGGCATGGGGGCAAGAGGGACTCAGGCATGGGGACAACTCAAGAGATAGCCGTAAAGGTGGCATATAGCATGTTAGGGCCAGGCCTAGGTGGCTGGGGAAGCAGACAGGAAGCCAGGGGAGGAGGCTGGAGCAGGACCCTTCAGCCAGCCCAGGAAGAGCCTGCCATGATTCCAGGCCTGTGGTCCTCACTGGAGCAGCAGGATTGTGTCTGATAACAGAGAGACCCAGATCCCACATCTGCCGGGGCAGTGAGGCAGGCAAGGGCAGGTCTGGCTTGAGGAGGCCAGAGGGGGGAGTCCAGAGCTGGGACACTGTGTTCCCACCCTGGCCAGGCCTGTGCTGCCACAGCAGTGGTCTCCAGCCCTCTGCGTGCTGCCGTGTCACTGCACCCTTTAGGAAGGGTCCAGGCCCCACATGGGGCAGCCTGCCAGGTCCTATTGTCACTCACTCTGGTGTAGAATATGCCCAGACAGAGGGACTGCAACTCACCTGCTCCAGCCTGCCCTATCACTGGGAAAGTTCAGAGAGAGAAAGTGACTGCCCCAAGTCACACACCCTACAGGACTAATGGGGATTAGCCTTGGGGTTTCCTAACTCGGAGGCCAGGGCTTCACACCTTGTGTGTTGGGGGGAGGGGTGTCCTCACTCCTGTCTCCTAGAAACAAAGGTTCTAAGGGGAGGGGTGGAGGTGGGGGGAAGAGACCACAGAGGCATGGGAGGGATGAAGGAGCAGTGCATAGCTGTGTGCCATAGAGTGAAAGGCACTGGTTGCTGTGTGGGTGGATGGACAGGCAGACTCCATTTTGTACTGTCAGGAAAAAGGCAAGGAGTATGGTGGAGGGGTGGCTACAGCTGTGTTAAAAAAAAAAAAAAATCCACTACCAAAATTACAAGTGTTTGTCCACCCACACTTGTAAGTGCAGATAGGTCTGGAAGGTTCTGCTCAGGCCTGGGTGGGACAGGGTCTTTTCCTGCCCCTGGGCTGAGGGTGGGCTGAGCATTTTGTGGAGAAAGTAGCCAAGTAGCACTGTTGACCATGCAGTGGAACAAAAAGGAGGGCAGGGCTCAGGCACCTACCTACACCTCCGAACGGCAGGCTGGCCAGGGTCATGTGCATGAAGCCGTCGTTCCCACAGAAGCCCCCGCTGCTGGTCCGTGCCAGCACCTCTCTGACCACCTGAGAGGGAGCAGGAGGGTGTGAGCTGAACTCAATCACGAGGACCTTGTCACAAGTCTCTCCTGGGAGTAGCCCAGCCAGGGTGCTGGGACACAGACTCTCAGGCCTAGTGTCACCTGCTGATGTGCAAAGTGCACTGGCAGCAGTGAGGTGCTGGGGAGTCAGGGAGATGACCTCAAGGAGGGGCACAATGTGCCTGCTGAGTCTCTGGTTGGGGGTCGTTCAGGTGAGGAGGGTGCTAGGCAGTAGGGGGTGCCGTGGTTTGAGCACAAGCCAGCAGGTCACAATATGCAGCCAGACTGGTATTCAGAAACATGGCTTGGCCCTCTTGACTTTCTGAAGGCCCTCCCTCTTCTGTCTAGGAGGCTATTTGTAGGACAAAAGGGAACGGATCTGTGCACACTGACTAGACCCCGACTCTCATGGTGGTAGAGGGACTCCCACCGGGGGTCAGCCATCGACCCCCAAAACAGGCCAATGGAGGGCACCAAGGGCTTGCTGACCAGCAAGGACAGGCACACTCCGCATTCCAGGACCAGCGCTGAGCCATCAGAGCGAAGGCCAGCTGAGCCCACTGCCTTTTGCGTTTTTAAAGATCCTGATGAACGGCTCCGCCGAGAAAGAGCCTGTTCTAGAGCTGGGTCAGGGAAGGTCCAAGATGAGCTCAGAGCTCTTGGTAGAACCAAAGAGGAAGTTGGCACAGACCACAGCCTGGGACAAAGCATGTGGCCCACAGAATAAAATGTCTTGAGGCCACTCTGACTTAAATGAACAATTCAAGAGACAAACCCTTCCAGGTGGCCCGGATGACATGTGTGGATGGCCTTCTGCAGACAGGATCAAAAGACTCAAGGAAGGGCTCAACAGTAGCTCACAATGGAGGACTCTGGCAGACACAGCCTTGCCCAAGTGGTGACAGCCACCCTCACCAGCCATGTGTGGGTCTGGCATCCTAGAGACAGCTTTGCCACTGTGGCATTCTCTCCAAAAACCCCTATCGCTTATGGAGTCATGAGCCAGACAGCCTCAAACTGGGGACATTACAGAGCTGAGGCTTAGTTAATGCAATGCTGGGTCTTGGAGCAGAAAGAGGAGGTTTGTGGGGAGCTGGCCAATGGGAAGGACTGGGAAGTGTGGTTATAGCAGGTCCCCTGTCATTTTCTCAGTTTGGTCAAGCCAAGGACTGGGTGTGGGGCACAAGGAGACTCCACTGCCTGCAGCTTTTCTGTAAATCTAAAGGCAATTCCAAATAAAAGCTGTATTTAAAAAAACATTGTTCAGATGGGAGAATCTTAGGAGCGCTGGATAAGAGGAGCCAACGAGGCTGGTGGGGAATGTTGGTGCCTCCCATCCCATCCTAGGCTGGGGACGCTACTCCTGTGCCCTCATGCCCAGTCTAAGAAGGTTCAGGTCCTGGAACCTGCCTGCTCCAGTCTTCCTGCAGCCTGGGCCCTTCCCCAGTATGTGGTGTGCTGGCCACCAGGCCCAGATGTGTGGTGAAGAATACAGGTGAAGGCTGACTCAGAGGGGACACTGGGCCCTGGAGAAGTCTCTGTGGAACTGTCCCCTGAAGACCCAGGAAAGCATGGCTCAGATAGGGTGTGGGGGGGGGGCGGAATTCAACCGCTCAAGGGAGAGCAGGGACACAGCCAAGCGGCCACCATCCCTGCAGTCCAGGAAGGCTACATCCTTCCCGCTGCCACCTCTCCCATGGCCCACTGGTACTTGGCCCCACCCTTCCCAGCCTCGCAGGCCCACCTGGCTGCAGTTGGAGAAGGCGTACAGGGCCAGCGGCTTCTCCCGCCGGTTGATGAAGTCAATGGCCTCATCCAGGCTCCTCACGGTCACCAGGGGCAGGATGGGCCCGAAAATCTCCTCCTGCATCACTGGTTCCGTCTCCTGCACGTCCACCAGCACCGTGGGCGCTGTGGGCACAGGGGACAGCTCAGTTCCCAAGCTGTAGCCAGGACACCGTGGGCAGGAGCTCTGACAGGGCCAGGACCCAGGTTCCAGGCCAGGAGTCCCAGGGTCTGACCTCCCGGAATCTGGACTCAGGATCTGAGGGTCTGGGGTCCTGGCCTCAAGGGACAGCAGAGGTGGGACAGAATTTTAAACCACCTGGGGTCTGACCTCAGCCGGACCAGCGTGTAGAATCCAGGCATCACTGGCTCAGAACCACAGTGACGTGGAGCGTTTGTGCTCTGGAATCGTGACACTGGGAGTCACGGACCCGGCCAGGGCCCCTCGGCAAGAAGTGGCTCGGCCCAGATGGGCTGTGAAAGGCAAGAAGGGAGCTCACCGATGTAGCGGTCGCTCTCATCGCTCTGGCCACCGATGGCCACGCGGCCACAGCCCAGCAGTCCCTGGAGTCGCTTGAAATGTTTCTGGTTGATGATGCGGCCCAGGTTGGGGGAGCTCTGGGGGTCGTCTCCATAGAAACGGGTGATGGCGCTCTGCAGGGCGGGCAGCAGCCGCTCCCGCATCTCAGGGCTGCACAGGATGTAATCGGGGGCCACGCAAGTCTGGCCGGTGTTGAAATAGCGGAAGAAGGCCACACGGTTGGCCACAGTCTGGGGGTCACAGTTGTCATCCACATAGCATGGGTTCTTGCCGCCCAGCTCCAGGGTGACAGGTGTGAGGTGCTTGGCGGCTGCGGTCATGACGATCTTGCCTACATGAGGGCTTCCTGGGGGCATGGAAGGTTACTAGAGTGGCTCTTCAGTCATCCTGTCCAGGTGATGGCCTCACCTGGGGACCCTGCTCTTCCCTTAAGAGGCGGTGGAGTCAGCTAGAGCCAGTCCTTCTTGACCTCTCCTTGCCACTCTGCCACTATGTAATCTGGGACCCTGTTCATCCCCACCTAGAGCAGTCCCCAAGAGTCCCCAAGGGACTCAGAAAGGCAAGATTGGTTCTACACACCCAACAGACCCCCATTCCCTTCCTGAGCAGAGCCCCTTGGGGCTCTACCTGACTCTGCTTCTGTCCCTGGCCTACCTTGCAGATGACTGTAAAATGCTCCCCTCCCAGTTCTGTAGAACATTCAAAGACCATTTTTCGTCCGAGGCCAGAGTCCAGTTCTAAGCCTGCCTGACAATTGTTTTGGTCTCTGTCTCGCACATTCCTTCCCCAAGTTCTGAATCTAGAGGTCCCTCCCCAGGTTCTCAGCTTCCTCTGCCTTTGCCTCTGGCCTCCCCACCACTTCCCTGCTCATAATTCTCATCCCATTTCTTGCTTGTTCTCTGCCCTCCTTAACTAAAATCTCCAGAAGGTCTGCCAGGCATGGAGGCACTCTCCTGTGATCCTAGCTCTTGGGAGGCGGAGGCAGGAGGATCATAAGTTCAAGGCCAGCCTGGGCTGTATAGTAAGCCCTGTCTCAAAAAAAACACAAGGGCTTGGGTATGTAGCTCAGTGGAAGATTGCTTGCTTAGCATGCACAAGACCCTAAGTTTGATCCCCAGCACTAAAAAAACTCCAGAGGTTCTGTCTTTCCAGCCCCAGCTGAACGTAGACAGCCTGTGAGGCACGTGGTCTGTGTGCTAAGCAGCATACCCTGATGGAGAGCGGGAACAGAGACTTCCCCAGGGCCATTTGCACTCAGCCTCTGGACAGACCTGAGACTTGGAGAGTGCTCCCATTTTACAGATCCAGAAATGGAGGCCTGGAGAAGTCAGAGGCCATCAGGAAGGTCCCTGTCCAGTCTGTTGGCTTCTGTGCAGGCTGTCCCAGGACTTGGCGTGGAAGCTAAACTCTGGAGTCTAGCCTTGCCTTTGCACTCTAGTCCTGGGGGACCTGACCTAGCCCCAACCAGCACTGAGGGGTGAAGTGGGCTAGGGTCTCCCCTGCCTCCTGCCCTTCCCACCTGTGGGACTGCAGGAGCTGTGGCCTGTCCTCACAGCCAGGACTCATCCCCTTTGCTCCACAGTCACCCTCCCTGGCTTTTCATGGAGTCCAGCCTGGGTCTAGACAGAAGCGAAAGGTCAGAGTCTCCCCTGCTCTGACCATGTGCAAGGTTGGAGGCAAAGCAGCAAGAGGCTCAGACCCTGGAAGTGCTGCCTCCTGACTCCTTGGTCCTTTCATCCTCTGGGGAGGAGGTAGCCTTGAAGTCCCTGCACAAACTTCCTGGTCACTTGAAGCCAGGTGGTACCCGGAGCCTTGGTGCACGCTACAGTAATGGCAAGTGACCTCTGGGAACGAGTTCTCACCAAGGGCTTGGGTGCAAATCCCACCCTGGTCAGTGCGGTAGCCCTATGCAGGCACCTTGGTCTTCAGCACCCTTCATCACACCTCACATGTGTTACCAGCAGAAGGCTAGGGACCAGACCAGCAGGGTCACATCTAAGGCCTGGGGTCTGGTAGGGTCAGGTGCCAGGGCCTAGCAAAGCCAGAGATCAACAATGGCTGGTACTTGATCAATGACATTGTGGTTGGGAAGGTGGGCTGTAGCCCAGCATAGGACTCCATTCCTTACTGAGGGTCCTGAGAGCCCAGGGCTGCTCACAGCCTGGTCAAGAGGAAGAAATGACTCCCAGGGCACCCATGAGAGCTTGCCTAGTCTGGGTCCTCCCTGACTGTCCTTCTGCCTTCAATCCTCCCGCACTTTTGGCCTGAGGGACAAGAGAGCCAGATGCTGGTGGCTCACGCCTGTAATCCTAGCTACTCAGGAGGCAGAAATCAGGAGGACTGCAGTTCGAAGCCAGCCCAGGCTAATAGTTTGCGAGACGCTATCTTGAAAAACCCTTCATAACAAAGGACTGGTGGAGTGGTTCAAGGTGTAGACCCTGAGTTCAAACCCCAGTACCACAAAAAAAAAAAAAAAAGGAAAAAAGAAGATCCTGGAGACGGGCCACCCCACCTCCTGTGACCTCACCTGTGAAGAAAATGTAGTCAAACTTGTGCTCCAGCAGCTTCCCAGTCTCCTGGGGCCCACCTGGCACCACGGCAAAACAGCTCTGCAAGACCATAGCAGAGGATTCACTTTAAAACCCAATTCCTGAGCCCCTGGGGCGACCTGCCCACCTGGAGCCCACACCCCTGCCTGGCTTCACCCAGGGTTAGAGGGGGTGAGGTAAGGAGTGACGACCTCCCAGAGGAGGCTATCCCAACCCAGCAGGTTCAGGGCAGGAGAGCAGATGAGGCCAGGACCAGACAGGCAGGGCCAGTTGAAGACAGACAAAGGCTCCCCAGGGACAGCCTGCCCTGGCTACTCCTCAGAGGGAAACTGAGGCTGAGGGGCAGTGATTTGGCCAAGGCCACAGAACCCTGAAGTGGGGACACAGACCCTCCCACAACCAGGTCTCTCTAGTCCAGGGGGACTGCCTATTCCTGCCTGTCCTCGTCTGCCCCACACCACAGCCCTGCTCACCTGGTCCAGGTAGCGGGGCAGCACTTCAACCAGGACCTTCTCAGTGTTCTTGCTGATCTCTGATGGCTTCAGTACCACACAGTTTCCTGCAGGCGATGCAAGGAGAGAGCTTAGAGAGCATAGCCTACAGACAGTCCCCACACCCCGGCAGGACAGGCACCAGCCTCACCCACCAGCTAACAGATGAAGAATCTGCTCAGAGGTGGCATCCCAGGCCAAGGCCACAAAGCCCTGGACAGCAGGCCACATGGGAACACCTGGTGGCAGTTCCCCAGATCCTCTCTCCCTGGCCCTGTGGGTAGCCCTGAGGCCTCTAGGGCATGGGATGGTGGAGGCTGAGCACTCACCTGCCGCGATGGCCCCCACCAGGGGCACCAGCATGAGGTTCAGGGGGTAGTTCCAGGGGGCAATGATGAGCACCAAGCCATAAGGCTCCTTCCGGATGAAGGCAGAGTCCAGCTGTGTGGCCTGGGCGGGAGCCAGGGTGAACGGTGAGGGGCCCAGAAAGGCCACCTGTGGGAGCTAGTACTCCCCAAAGCCCTGCCCTCCTGCCTCCCAGGCCACTCACCAGGTTCTTGGACACACTCTCATCTTTCATCCAGGCCTGAAGGTTCCTGAGGGCTAAGTCCACTTCACCCTGGCTGATGACAATCTCAGACACCTCAGACTCGAAGGCTGACTGCAGGGAGGGACAAGTTCAGGACTGAGGCCCGGAGACCCCAGGTCAGCAGGTGGCCAGTGCCTGGGAGGGCCTGCTCCCTTCTCATTTGTTCATTCGTTCACTCACTCTCTCACTCACTCCAAGCTCTGAGTGAGCAACAGAGAAACCCACCCAGGGGCTGACGGAGGGGACAGTCACCATGATCATGAGAGCATGGATGGCTTCGTTGAGTCATGACAAGTGCCGTGGGGAAAGCAGAACAGGGAAGGGTGAAGACTGCTGGAGTGTGCCCGAGTGTGCGTTCACTTTTGGTCTATACACAGGTATTACTGTGGGCCCCCGGGATGGGTGACTTTTCTTTTCTTTCTTTCTTTTTTTGAGGCAGAGTCTTGCTCTGTAGTCCAGGCTGGCCTCAAATTCAACAATCCTCCTGCCTCAGCTTCCTGAGTGCTGGGATTATAGGCATGCACCACCACCTCTGGCTACATGAGTTGACATTTGAGCAGTGTTCTAAAGAAAGGAAGACTGAGCCCTGGATGCCTGGAAGCAGAATATTCTGGGCAGAGATTCCAGCAGGTACAAAGGCCCTGAGGCTGGTGCAGGCTTGCTCTGATCCTGTGTGGCAGCATTGAGGTGTTGGGCTAGGCAGTGGGTAGGATCTGACATAGTTTCTAACAAGAATATGTATGTGTGACTGATTGTGTGGAGGTCTGTCTGTGGGGAACACAGGACAAGCCCTTTCTGGGTAAGTGCTGTAAGGTCCACAGCCCAAGGACTATTAGGTTTCCAGGCAGGAGTGAGAAGGGGACAAAATCAATAGGGACGCTGTCTTGATCTTTGTCAGCTGCGTTCCCTGCCCCCAGCCCCAGGAGGGACCCAGCCAGTGGGCTGCAGGTGGCTGGAAGCCATGGCCAGGGATACCAGAGTCAGGCTGTCTGCTTGAGTCACAGTCACTTTAGTATAAGCTCTCCTGCGTTAGCGACACAACAGATGCAGGAGGTACTAAGATGGTCCAGAGGGCAAGCAAATAAAGACCAGAGAAGGGCATGTCCCCAGCAGGGTCACTGAGCAAACCAGCAAAAAGGCTGGGGCCAGAGCTGAGAGCCAAGGTGGAGGGGACTATGACCTTGAAGGTGGACACCATACCCATCAGTGCTCCCCTAGAGGCCAATCCTAGTTCAAACTGCTTCAGCCACAGTGAAAACTTCCTAGCAAATCTGACAGCCTGCTCCCACCTCCCCTACTGCCCCCCAAACACTGGGTACCTTGCCAGGATCCTCAATGAGGTTTGGGACAGTTTACAGAGCAGTCTGGACCCAGCAGGACACATGGTTTGGGGAGAGTAGACTATTGTGAGCCAGGTTCAAACCCTGGCTCTGCCCTTCCTAGCTGTGTGTCTTTGGGCAACAGCATGCCCTCTCTGAGCCTCCTCTGGGTGTGACAGTCCCAGGAAGAGCTGGTGGGGTTAGGTGAGAGAATGTACACACTCCTGGCAGATGGGACAGCAGGCTGGCCAAGATCAGAGGGCAGCACAGATTGAATTTTCTGGGCCACTACTCCCTTTGTAAGTCCAGAGCTCCCAGAGTCCTGTGGGAAAGCAGAAGTGAAACCTGAGCTAAAGGGAAGAGGGACTAGTCAGGCCGGTTCACCTCCCCCTTCTCTGGGTGGCCATCCTGTGCCTGGGCTGGGGAGAGCATCACAAGAGGTCTCCAGGGAGCCCAACAAACTGGGAAGGGGCCCTGTCCAAACAACCCTTTAGACAGCTGTCCCAGGGAAGGGTCGTCAAGTGGTGGGCCTTACCAGGTGAGGAACTGGGGAACTAGCTATCAGGAAGTGTGTTTCTGGGGGCTCTGCATGGCTGCTGCTGGAACTGGTAGGGGCTGAGCTCTGGGGCCTCCAGGGTTTAGAGGCTGTGCTGTGCACTGTGCCCAGGGGGAGGTCCACCTCCCTAGGCCTCCCCTTTCATATTGCTCTGTCTCACTCTTCCCAGACACACTGGTTTCTGTGGCTCCTCAGGCCCTTCCTCAGGGCCTTTGTACATACTGCACCTCTGTACATGCAGAGGTGCATGGCTGCACCTCTGCCACTTTCCCCCACCATCCATGTGGGTCTTTCCTTCTCCTTCATGTCTCTGCTTTAATGCCCACTTCTCAGAGAAACTGTCCCTGACCCCCACATACAATCCAGCACCCTGGTCCTGCCCCCCCACACACACTGGGAGGGTTTCAACAGCACTTGTTACCAGTCAGCATGCTGTGTAACTGTGCATGTACTGTCGTGTAGTGCCCCCCAAAGGTCAGCTCGGTAGACACAGGACTTTGCTCTACTCTTTGTGCATCCCCAGAGCCCGGACTGGAACCAACCAGCACATAGCAGATGTTTGGTAAATGATTGTTTGATGAATGCAGAACAGAATGGATGGGTGAAGGCAGACACGGGTCCTGGCCCAAGGAAGAAGAAGCCAGGCTTTTAGTTCCCCTTCCTGGAGAATGCAGTTGGCCTGTTCCCTTTGTCCCAGCTGTACCACCATTGCCGCCCCTGGCATGCTCCTACCCCATTCCCCATTGGTCACCTTGTGCAGGTCCTGGGCCAGTGCGTCCTGCAGCAGCTGCCTGTTGTCCTGCAGGAAGCGGCTCAGGCCCTTCAGCTGCTCAACCCGGAACTCGGCCGGCCTCGTCCGCCCCGCGTTGAAGGCCTCCCGCAGCCGCCGCAGTGTGTCCTCGACGGGGTCCATCCTGCCGGACAGGACAGCGTGAGCCGGGTGGCCAGGGTTGTCCCCACCTTTGGGGACCCCCTTCAGCCACTGTGGGCCTGTGGCAGTCCCTCCTCCTCTCACAGACATCCCATTCACAGGGTGTCCCTTGGATAAGAACACAGGGCCAAGCACTTCCACAGAACCTCGTCCCCACCATAGGACACAGCCACACACGAGGTCCTCCATGCTACAGGAGCTCTGAGCTCCTGCAGGATTGAGCATGAGTTGGGGACAGTTCCTCCCCACTGTCCCCTCCCATAGGACTGGGAGGCCAGCCTCTTTAGGTGCATAAGGACTGTACCCCAGGTCAGCATCAGTGCTCCAGAACTTCAAGCCTTTGTCAAGCAATTGCGCCAGGGTCTAGACCACCCCCGACTCCCACCCCACAACCCTAGGCCAAGCCTGCTCCACCTGCTGGTGACCTGGCCAGCTCCAGGGTCTGGAGCCCTCAGGCACCCCAGTTGCTACATTGACCTGTCCCCTCCTGCATGGGACAGGTCCCTGACTAAGGGGACAGAGTGCCCTGCCTCAGCTCTGCTCTTGTCGCTGTGAGACTGGGGGCAAGGCCCTCACCTTCCCTGCCTCAGTTTCCTGTCTGTAACATGGGGGACGCACTGGTTCCGCTGGAGGATCACATGGCACAATTCTACTCAAAGCATTGGCCACAGAGTCCCCAGGAAGCTCAATAGATGGCAGCCAAGTCTAAGAAGCCACCAAATCTCCACTTGCTCTCTCCCTGCCCTTTCTCTTTCTGCCTCACCTTCAGACTCCTGCTGATGGAAGCCAAGGCCAACCCCTCCTCTCTGCTTTTCATTAGAGGCTCTGCAGAGCCCACAAAAATGTGAAGCACGAAGGCCACATGGTGACCTGTGGGCAGGGGCATGCTGCCCAGTCTGTATGGAACATTCCAGCATCTGCACCTAGCAACAGGGTGGCCAACACTCCCCCCAGCCCCCCAGAGCAGCAGGATCCACATCGCAGGGCTGCCCACCCGGCCTCACCCCTGGGGGTTAGGTCACTCTGGACTGAGGCCCCAGGGAGTGCCCAGAGAGGGCCCATCAGTGCAGACCTGAGTTATGACTTCACAGGGGAGCTGGGCAGCCATTGTAAACACATAGAATCAGGATTCCTGTGTATGCTTTGGGCTGGGCAGGGCCCCAAGTTCTCTTCCCCTGGGTGCATCCCATCCTGGGTAGGTATGCTGACTCATTTGAACATTGCAACAGTGCAGAGAGGGGTCCATTATTCAACACAGCACATAGAAGGAGATAAGATCAAGACACAGAAAGAGCAAGAGCTTGCCTAAGGCCACCTTGCTTCCTCAGACTAGAAAACCTGAGAGGCAGGAGGCTGCCCAGTGCAGACTTCTGACCCCCAGCTGGGAAGGAACAGGGCAGCATCAGAGCCTGGCTGCAGTCCAGTCCCAATCCCTTGGGGAGAGGGACAGCCAGAGTCCCCACAGGGAAGGGACACTTCTGGGCTGAAGACCCAGGGGCAGGTGGGCAGTGGCCTGTCTTCTGGGGGCAGAAAAGCTCCCAAGTGAGGGTGTAAAGTTGCATTGCTGGGTTTCAGTTGCAGCAACCTGTATTTCCTCATCGTTCTGCACTAGGCGGGTTTAAGACTCCTTGCCTGAGCTGCTGAGGTTCAGGAGCTGGCTGGCCAACTCAGGGGTCTCCACGAGTGATGGTGAAAAGAGGCCAGACCTGTTTCCCTGGGACTAGGGCAGGACCAGCCACCTCCCCCAAGGCCATGGGTCTGAGGATTCCTCTAAAAAGAATAATCAGGAGCCAAGGAAGGCAGTGGGCCAGCAGAGCACTTGCTGTGGGAGCTCATGGGTACTGGTGTGGAGAGCGGCAGGAAGGACCTGCGAACTAGAGGAGGGGAGGGATGGGTGGGTGTTCCAAGTCCCATGGGGATTAACCACTGGGGAACCCCTGACCTGTGCCCCTCCGCACATCCACTGATGGTCTCATCTGAGGGGCACATCCTGTTCTCCCAACCCAGCCCATCACTGCTGGATTCAGGGAAGAAAAGCTCTGCCCATTCACTCATTCTTTCTGCCTCCGTTTCCTCATCGACACCACAGGCCTTCTAAGAGCATCTTGCCGAGATGGCATGGTCTGGGGGACCCAATGACCTGGGCCCAGCAACTATGTTTATTAGATAGAGGACCTTGGGCAGGACTCTTGGCCTCCCTGTGGCTGACTTTTCCCCTTGTGTAATGGGGCAGTGCCTGCAGCCACCCGTAGTGCTGTTGGGAAGATTCAAGCATGGACCTTCAGATCCAGGGCACCCTGAGAGCGCTAAGCCACTGTGCTTCTAAAGGATCCTCACTCAGAAAGCAAAGGTCAGGGGCACCAGAGGCGGTTAGGGGGAGGAGGGGTTGGGGGCGGGGGTGGGGGGAGGACAAGGACATCGATCTGAGATCCAGGAGAGGGCAGGAATGTAGCTGACAGAGGTGAGTGGATGTGTGGCCTGAGAGCCTGGGGGTCCCCCCATCAGGGCTGCCACAGGTTGGGGGTGCTGGGTCACCAAAGACCCACAGACCTGGAAACCCCAGGGTCTCCAGTTCTGATATTCTGCTATTTAGTCTGAGCCTGGATTTCATGAGGTCTCTCAGAACTCAGGCAGCAGTCACTCCCGTCCATAGGGTCCTTGGAGAACTGGGACCAATGCACCCCTTTGCCTGTGGGCTGAGCTGCTCAGCCCCTGCCTCGGAGAGGCTGTCCTGCCCAAAAGTCCCTCTGACAAGAGTCCCTCCTTCAGGAAGGGCGGGTCCCTGAGTTCCTCCTTCCCTGGGCCCTGACAAAGTCCATCACTAAGTAGGAGGCCCTCCGAGATCCTTTCCCCACCAGCCTGGTCTCCCTGGCAGTGCCTAGGAGACAGCTGTGGTCTGAATGGACACTGGGCCCCATGGAGTCCAGAGAGCACATTATCTCCCAGGCCACTTCACAGAATCTCCAGAGCCCCAGGAAGACGGCCAGCACCCCAGATCTGACAGTCTGCCCTCCCTCCTTTCCCTGTCTCTGTGACCGGGCTGGCCAGGGTAGACAACCACCCAGGAGAGCTGAGCAGGTTCTCAGCTCTGACTGATCCACATGGCCCCAGCTTCCCCAGGATACCTACCTGAGGCCCCTTGAAGCTCCCTTTCTGACGTCCTGCTCTGTCCTGCTCTGCTCCGGGCCCTGCCCTTACAAAATGTCCAACACCAGGGGCGGGTTGCCCTGGCCTTGTGCCTGACCTCGGCACTGGGCCATCTAGAGGCCACAAGCCACCACCTCCTTCAAGAGCCTCCAGATCCTCTTTCAGACCACAGAGAAGGAGTCGGGGACCAGAGAGGGCCAGTGCCAAGCAAGGGCCACACAGCTGAGCTAAGGAGCCCAGCCCTAGCAGAAGGAGCACCCAGAGCAGTGGCCCTGGGAATTTCAGTGTGGGGTGGGGCCCAGTGGTCTGGAATAGCTAGAAGGGCCCTGCCTTCCACCCCAGCCTTCTCTTGAGGCAGCCCCTCTTCTGAGTCTCAGTTTCCCCATTGGTAAAATGAAGAGGTCAGATCCAGAGATGGCCGGAGTCCAGAAATCTGATCTCAGAACCATGTCCCACCACACAGCATCCATTCACAGAGTCTGACACCTTACTAATGAGGAAACAGGCCCAGGAAGGGGCAGTATTTGATCATGTGGGGTGAGTGGCAGGGCTCGCTGCTCCAGAAGGAAGGGGCAGTATTTGATCATGTGGGGTGAGTGGCAGGGCTCGCTGCTCCAGAGCTGGGGAGATACCACCCACAGATGTCCTTCCATCCCCTGGGGATGAGCCCCACCCTTTGCCCTCTAGGACAGCAGCGATGGGTGCGTGTCACTGGGTGATCCCTCGGATCCTGCTCCTGTGCAGTGCCTCGCCCCTGCCTCACCCTGGGCACACCTGTGGGAGCCGGCACAAAGGGGGATATCCCCGGCAGCTGCTGGGGGCAAACAGGCAGGTGGTTGGTTACAGGTGTGGGAGGAACATCCTTTGTGCCTCTGCCTTGGGCCATCGCCACAGTCTCCCTCCACTGGTGCCCTGGGCCTGCCTGGAGTCTCCTGGCCAGGGCCTCTGAGCCGACCTTGCACCCGGGAGATGCTCATCACAGCCCCACCCCATCTCCTCTGCCTACCTGAGAGGGCAGGAGAGGTCTTCTGGCCCACGCCCGCACTGGCAGCCCTGCCAGATTTAGCTGGCTGGGGTAAGGGCAGGAGTCAGGGGCCACAGAGGCCCAGTCCTCTGTGTGGGATGGAGCCCCCAGCCGCCAGCTGTCACGTGGTTCAACATGTGACAGCTCTGCTCTGCTGCTCTCTGGAGCTGTGCCAGGTAGAAGCAAAGGCAGAGCCCAGTGTCAGGCGGGGCTGGGTTGGGGCTGAGCCTGTAGCTATCAGGCAGGAACTAGGCCCAGAGAGGGGCAGCCACCAGTCTAAGGTCACACAGCAAATCAGGGGCCTATTTGGGGAAGATCCTGTTGGATGGGAGAGGTGTTACAGGCTCCTGAGGGCCCTCTCCCTGGCCAGAGGGCTGGTAGGGAACCCACACTCACAGGAACAACCTAGGAGGAGGTCCCCATGAAGGCCTTTCAGCTTGGGATGAAGGTCTTTGTCATTCCAGGCGTGAGGCTCCCCCAGGGTGGGACACTGGATGCACTTGACACCAGACCCTTTGGAGACAACAGGGACTGCCCTCTCCCCTCTCTCAGTGTTCCCCCAGGCTTCAGAGACTCCATGGGGCCTGGCAGTTATGGCCTTGTTGAGAACAATTCAGGATAAATGCAGCAGTCTAGGTGGGACCACCAAGAGTCCCTCTCAGAGCTGACTCTGGTGGGGAGGCGGCTCTGCCTAGGACCCAGCCAGCCAGGTATGGCAGGGGTCCTAGGGGGGCAGAGATTTTGAAGCTCCTGATACAGCCACGCTCACAGGCTCTGGGTCAGACAGGCCATTGCAGGTCCCACCTCTTTCTCCCTGCAGTTGCTTCACCTGGGAGTTCTCATGTGAAAATGGGGCTGGCATGGGATCAGGGTGTGGATGGGTGAACCTAACGACATGAAAAAGCACTTCGCTCAGTGCCTGGCACAGAGGTAGTTAAGCGTGGCCGGCCTTTGACTCCTGGACCTGACCGTCGTCTGTGTGACGTCAGGTGGGTGTGTTACCCTCTCTTGCCTGTAGTCCCATCTGTGGGGTTTGTGAGAGTAACGCATGCCCAAGTGATTGAGAGGGGAAAAAGAGTCAAGTGGGCCTGATTTCGTCACCACTCCGAGTGCCCCTTGTCCTTCTGAGGAGGCCCAGAGCTGCCCTCCAGGACAAAGGGCTGCCCAGTCCCTGCCAGTCCCACTACCTGACTCCCAGACCCTCCAGACCCACTGTCCTCTGCCATGGCCCCCCATCTTTGGCCAACCCTTCTATCCAAACTGCCCTTCCCTTCCCAACCAGTGATCTAGCACAGGGAGTTGATTTGCAGGGGGCGCTGAGGCCTGAGGGGTGGGAAGGCCCGAGGTCAGATTTGTCTCCTAGTTCAGGGCTCCTCTCACCTCTGCCAGGGCCAGGGAGATTTCCCCCAGTCCCCACCCCCGCCTGGGACCCTCTGTTCCCCTCATGGGCGGAGGGCCAGGCCCATTTGTCACACCTGCTTCAGCCGGTCCACCTGCTGGCGATTGCCTTGGAGGATCAGATAGAAAGACCCTCATTGTTTCCATCTTCAGCCTCTCTGGGGGGAGGGGGAGGGGAGGCTGGAACTGAGCTATGGGGTCACGTGGATTTATTCATTCATTCCTTTGCTCATTCAGACCTAAGAGCATCTCACTGCCTTCACTTGCAGACAGGCTGCTCAGCCCACCCGTGAAGTGCCTTAAGCAAAACATGTCCTATTACTGGGCCTCAATGCCCTCAGCTGTAAAATGGGGTTGATCCTGCCTCATAGGGCTGCCGTGTGTGACTGGAGCTGGGCATCGTGGTGCATGCCTGTACTCCTAGCACTCGGGAGGCTGAGGCAGGAGAATTTTGAGTTCAGGCAAGCTTAGGCTACAGAGCCAGGCCCTGCTTCAAAACACCAAAAAAAAAAGAGGGAGAAGGAGGGAGGAAAAAAAGTGTTTCTAGGAAGTACCTGATAGGTACCTGGTACACAACAGGTGCTCAATATGTGTGGATGGGTCCTGCCCCTTTCCCTGGTCTCCTGAGGAAGGGGATGTCTTGGACTTTGTCCTGGAGGCCCTGGACCTGCTCCTGGAGGTCAGTGTGACCTTCCCAGATGCGAAGAAGCCACAGGGCTGGGACATAGTCTGCACTCAGTGAGCAGCAGCAACACAGGTTCACTCCCTCAGCACCTTGCTAGGCACCTACTGTGCGCCCGGCCCTTCGCACAGATTCTCATGCAATTCTTGGGTACTATCCATGTCCTACCGCCAAGAGGACAGGCCCAGAGAGGGGTGGTGACTGGCCAGGACACATGGGGACTCATCTAGCCAGGCCTGAACCAGGCCGCAGCATTTCTGGGGTGCGGGAGTCCTGGAGTAGGAGCGCTAGATCTTTGGCCTGGGTGACCCCTCTTTCCCAGGATCTCAGTCTCAGCCGACAGCTGCAGCCACATTTTCTGGGCCAGTGCTGGGCAGGGTCCTTGGCTTACCTTGGCTCAGGGACCTCAAGGTCATTGTCTCCACTGAGTTTAATTACAGAATTGTTGCTCACAGCATCAGTGCCAGGGTCGTGGTGTCACATCAATGGAGCATCTGCCTGACATGCTGCTACATTGGAGCCCATATGGGGAGACATTTCCAGGCGTTCCAGGTGTTCCAACTGGGAGCCATATTTATTCACGCCCGCTTGCTCTTCTGTGAGGAAATTCATTGTCAAAATCAGAACAACAAAGGAACCCTTATAGAGAAAATTATTTGGACAGAGTGAGGAGGTCCAGCTGCTCATTACTGGGTGTCACTGTGAGCTGTCACAGCCTGGCTGTAGGTCGCAGGGGTCACTGGCCTGCAGGTCACACTGGGTGTTTATCTGGGTGACCCCATGGAGCTTTTCTGGTAGCCTCAGGTGTCCTGATGGCAGCTTCACAAGTCACATGAGAGCCGCCTTCTGGAAAGAGGAGGTGTCTCAGTCACGCCGCAGGGTTTTTTGAGCAGAGTCACCGAACATAGGGAGTTGGATAAAAGAGCTAGCAGAGACCAGTCAGCTGGGGATGGCACCAACAGCAAGGCCACCACCCCCAGGGCTGGAGAGACAAAGGGAGACCCAAGAGTCAGGGTCCCCCAGGGAAATCTTGAATCATGGTGAGCCACTCTTCAGATGCTGGGACCATGAAGGAGTCAAACCTTCCTTAAATGCCTCCAAAGTCCCACAATGGGGTGGGGACAATAGGATGGCTGTTGCCTTCTGCTAGCTCCTCAGACACCAAATCCAGAGCCAAAGGGTGAAAAACCCTGATGCCTAGAAGCTCTTGACCCCAAAGCCACCTCCCCACTGCCCCACAGATAGGTGTTCTTCCTGACCCACCATGTTCCCCAGATTAGTGGGTTTCAGGATGCACAGCATGTCTCTGTGTGTGACCATAACGGAACTGCCCCTTACTAAACCTGGACATATGTACCTGTCATCTCTTCCCTCCCCCACCCCCATTCCTCCCTCCTTCCCTCCCTCCTCCTTCCTTCCTTCCTTTTCTCCCTTCCTTACCTCCCTCCCTCCCTCTCTTCCTCCCTCCCTCCCTTCCTTCCTCCCTCCCTTCCTCCCTCCCTTCCTTCCTTTCTTACTTTCTTCCCTTCCTCCCACCTTCCCTCCCTCCCTCCCTCACTCCCTTCCTTCCTTCCTCCTTCCCTTCCTTCCTGTTTTTTTTGAGACAGGGTCTTGCTATGCATCCCAGGCTGATCTTGAAATCACTATATAGCCCAGGCTGACCTTGAACTCACAATCCTTTTGTTGCCGCCTCCCAAGTGCAGGGATTCCAGGCATGCCTCACCACACCTGGCTTGTACTTGTAATCTTTGTCAGTGTTTTTATTTAAAAAATGAAAGGAATTCATTTTAATATAGCAATTTAAAATTAAAAGTGATAAACAGACCATAGAGGGTGTCCACAAGTAACAAGGGTTTTAAATTTAAAAATTCTGAGATCAGGGCTGTGGCAGCATGGCTCAAGTGGTAGAGCACCTGCCTAGTAAGCACAAGGTCCTTAGTTCAAATCCCAGTACCACCAATAAATAAGTAAACAGATAACTACATAGGTCAGCCTGGGGTGCACAGTAAATCTGGGACCTTGAACTTTAGGGTAATATCACTTGTAGGCATGTGTCCATGCATTGCTGGTGATTTATATCACCAGATTTTGAGTAAAGCAAATGACCCTCCATAAGGTAGATGGGCCTTATCCAATTTGAAGGCCTTCATAGAAAAAAGGACCAAAAGAGTCAGGTGTGGTGGCTCATACCTGCAATCCCAGCTACTCAGGAGGTGGAGGTAGGAGGATACAAGTCCAAGACCAGTCTAGATAAAAGCTTAAGACCCTATCTGAAAAAAATCTAAAGCAAAAGGGTTGGAGGTATGGCACAACTGGTAGAATGCTTGCCTAACCTGCACAAGGCCCTGCGTTCAAATCCCAGGACCACAAAAAAATGGCCAAGAAGGAATTCTGCCTTTGGACACCCTCCAGACTGTAATCCTAACTCCTCACTGGGGGTCCAGGCTGCAGATTTGGGCCTTGCTAGCCTCCACAATTGCACAGGCAAGTTCCTTAAAATTAATCTGATTTACCACGTTCCCTAGATTAGCGGGTCTCAGGAGCAATGCATGTGAAACCACTAATGAAATGTCCTACTCTTCTGTTTCTCTGGGGACTCTGCCAGATACAGGGTCCTTTGTGGTGAGACATGCAAACCCCAGGGTTTCCGGGATTCCCCGAGTATCCGATGTTCAGCAAGCCCCCCTCCCCCCAGAGCTTCACCCTTCAGGTGGCCTTGGACCCGGGTTTGGGTTTCTGCCCTTCCAGTACCCTGCTTCCTCTACAGAAAGGTCATGAGTCCTACTCCATGAGATCTGGGATCTCACAGAGCACCCCTGTGCTCAGAGCATGGGAACACGTGACGGTCTCGAAACACACGCACTTTTCCTCTGGCTCACCCAGTGAAGCAGCCACCATTTGTGGCCCTGGCTCCACGTGCAGAGTCTAGGAGCTTCTTGGCCTCTGTGGAAGTCACTCTATGTCCCCTCTTCTACTCTGGCACTCTTGTGGACCTGCCTGCTGCCCTCTAGCCTGTCCCCTCACCCAAAACTCAGTGGGCAGAATCCTTTATGCTTCTCGCCATTCTGGAGGTGAGGAGATAACAGGGTGTGTGTAGGGAGGGGAGGCTTCCAAAGCTGATGCCCAAAGCTGATCCTCCCAGAGGATCCTGGCCCAACAGTTTCCTTCCTGGTATGAACCTGAACATATTCAATGATCGTATTTGGGAAGGTCATAAGTGTATTCAGGAAGTAAAGGAAGGTAAGGGCTTAACAGGTAAAACGGAGGATTGCATAAATTGCTTTAAAATAATAACCCTTGGTTGCTAGGGATCAATGGCGTCTACCCAAGGTTGAATAGGTGATGGCCAGGCAGATGTCTTCGTGCAAGGTTACATTTGCAGAGGGGCATATACAACAGCTTTATCATAGTGGTGTGTGCGTGTGCGCGTGTGTGTGCGTGCGCGCCCCTTTGTGGCCTCAGGCTCTGTTTTGTCAGGGTTTGCCAATGTGCGTGTATACACACACTATCTATGGCATGGCACAGTGTGTGACATCTATTAACTTGTCCATCCACCCCGTCACTTATTGACCACTTAGTATGCACCTCAACAATCCTCTCTGCATGAGGGATACAGGGCAAGCAATACACCTTATTCTGAGAGCTGGGGGTGGGGGGCACTCCAACCAGAAGGCAGGCAGGGGAACTGGATATTTCCAAAAGTTTCCCAGATGGCTCTATCCAGGTGGACAGCCAGGCTGGCGAGGGTTTCCTGGGCTCAGGGTGGCACAGGAGGCTCTGGACCCTTCAGCGGTGGTGGGTTCACAACGTCAGTGCTGTGTGCCACCATCTTGGCTTCCCAAGTGACCCTCCCAAGCTCCCATGCGTAGATGGCAAACAGAAGCTGGAGCGGGTGTGGGAGGCTGGCTCTGTGGAGTCTGTGGTGGGAGGTGTGGCCAGCGGGTGCCCTGTAAACATGGAGTGGGGTGTTGGTCGTGGAGCTGGGGGGGGTGACAAAGACGACACTGAGGGGGCTTTGTATCAACTCAGTAATTCTGCCTTAGCCCTGGGGAGTAGTGCCCAGTGTCCCCTCTTGTAGGTGAGGAAACAGGAGGCAGAGAGGAAAGTGGAACTCGTCCCTAAAGTTAGTCAGGAAGCGGCTGAGCGCACATCGCAGAGGCGGCACACGGACACCGTGCACGCGTTGGACACGCACACGTACGCGCGTCCGGGGGAGGCGCCCGCGGGGCGGGGCGGGGCGGGGCGGTCCCGGAGCGGGGCGGTCCCCGCGTGAGGAAGTCCCGGCCGGCTGCAGGGTGGCCGCGCCGCGAGTCCTCCATCGGGGTCTGGCCATGGAGGCAGAGCCGCCGCTGTACCCGGTGGCGGGGGCCGCAGGGCCGCAGGGCGATGAGGACGGGTTCGGGGCCCCCGACGGGCCCGACGCCCCGGTGAGCGGGAACCGGGATCGCGAGGGGGCCGGGTGTCCCCGCGGAGCGAGGGCGGGCGGGGATCGGGGCGGCTGGCCCCGGGGGTGGCGAGCGGGTGCGAGTGCGTGCGTGTCCACCGCAGCTGGACGAGCTGGTGGGCGCGTACCCCAACTACAACGAGGAGGAGGAGGAGCGCCGCTACTACCGCCGCAAGCGCCTCGGCGTCCTCAAGAACGTGCTGGCGGCCAGCGCGGGCGGCACGCTCACCTATGGCGTCTACCTGGGTACCGCCGGGAGGGACGGGCGACGCGCGGGCCCTGGCTGTCCCCGCGCCCGGGCCGGGAAAGAGAAACCTTGCGGCAGCCGGCCTCGTTCCCCTTTCACTTCCCGCCCTCGAGGCTGCAGCTGCAGCGGCCACCCCCCCCCCCTTCCATGGGGAAGGGAGGTGGGGGGATGCGGTAGACAGTGTCACCAGGTCCCAGCCTGAGCCTTCATGGGGATGGGTGGGGGTGGGCGCCCCGCTCCCCTGTCCTGAGGGACGCTGCAGTGGGTGACTTCTCCCTGTGAGGCTTGCGTCCTGCCTCTAGCTTGGTTGCACCCAGAGCCGGGCCGCTCCCTCCATGGCGCCCATGTCCCCAGGCCTCCTGCAAATGCAGCTGATCCTGCACTATGATGAGACCTACCGCGAGGTGAAGTACGGAAACATGGGACTGCCCGACATCGACAGCAAGATGCTCACGGGTATCAACGCGACTCCCATCGCCGCCCTGCTCTACACGCCTGTGCTCATCAGGTGCTAGCGGTGGGCCCCCAGGGCAGGGCTCTCACCTAACCTCCCGAGGATGCTGTCCTGGTGTTTTCAGGGGCGGAGGAGATTGCTGGGGAAGGACCTTGCCCTGCCTGGGAAAGTGAGAGTGAACAGGAGAAACCGGGTAGGGAGAGAAAAGGAAAGCTTGGGTCCCTGGCACACTTGGTTCCAAGCAAGAGACTCACACAGGCTCCTGTGCCCCATGACATCCTCCTGGTGGCCTCCCTGGCAGCCCAGACCCACTGTGACCTTCTGGGTTGGGACTCTGGAGCCCTGGGAGGGAATCTATCAGCCAGCAAAACCCAAGCAGCCACTCCTGGCCCAATCACTGTTGACCGGTGGTGTCCAGGGGTAATTTCTCACAGAAAGACACATGGCCGGGCAGGTTCTCAGGTGAAAGTGTCCACTCTAGACCTGCACCTCAGGACACTGGTCTGGACTCATAACCAGTGCAAAAATTCCCTCCCTCCTCCACATCCTCCTCCCTGATGGGATCCAGAGACTGGGGGACAAATTGGATGGGTTTTAGTTCCCACGATTTTTTTTTTTTTTTTTTTTTTTTGTGGTACTGGGGCTTCAACTCAGGGCCTACACCTTGAGCCACTCCACCAGCCTTATTTTTGTGAAGGGTTTTCTCGAGATAGGGTCTCACAAACTATTTGCCTGGGCTGGCTTTGAACCGAGATCCTTCTGATCTCTGCCTCCTGAGTAGCTAGGGTTACAGGTGTGAGCCACCAGCACCCGGCTTGTTCCTGCAATTTTTAAAAAATTTTCTTTATCATAGCTGCACATACAGCATTACATCATTATAACTAAAATCAGAAAAAAGAACTCCCCTAAGCCCTTCAGCAAAGGGACTTGATACACACATGTGGGTCAAGTCCATGCCTTTGCTCAGGAGCCATGTGTGCAAGGCTCACTTCTGCTTTCTTTCTTCTTTGCGGTGGATGTATCTTAGCTTCTTCTACAGTCTTTATGGTTAGACATTTTGTCAGGGTCACACCTTTAGCAGAGATGGGGGCACTGAACCAGGGCACCAAGTTGTCACTGCTTGTCTTTGCTTGCCACTCTTTGCTTCTTTTTATTTATCTAAACTTAAATTTTTTTTTTTTTTTGAGATGAAGTCTTACTATGTTGCCTAGGCTGGTCTCAAATTTCTGGGCTCATACCATTCTCCCACCTCAGTCTCCTGAATAGTTGGGACTACAGGTGTGAACCACTGTGCCTGGCTTTCCTTCCTTTTTAAAATTTAAAAAATGGGGCTGGTTCAGTGGTAGAGCACTTGCCTGAAATATTCAAGGCCCTGGGCTCCATCCTTACCAAAACCAAAAATATAAAGTTAAATTAAAAATAATTTTTTTTCCCTAGGATAATGGTGACCCACAAGCTCATGGCTGCCAAAACCACCAGGTTGCTTTTCCAAGGGTTCTGCCATTTGCATGACCACTGGCTATATGAGTCAGTATTTAAACCACATCCCCACCAGCAATGAATGAGCACTGGCAATTTTGCTTTTTTGCTCCATTGAAATGTGCGGTGCAATTTTTGTGACCTACCCTCCCCCAAATAGACCACAGGAGGCTGCCTACCTATTATTATATGACAAAATAAGGATAATAGAAGAACCAGGGCCCTGCAACAGAAGAGAAAGTATCAAAAAGCCAGTGCTGTTTAAGTTTCAAGTTTCCTAGAAGTCAAGAGAGAAAGGATCTAATGAGCACAGACACAGAACACCCAAAGATGCCACGAGTGGTTTTTAGCCTGATTGGCCTCTAGGGTGTGATTGGTTCTTAATCCAGTCACTCATCAAGCCCCTTCCATTGTCACTTTGACTTGTTCCCAGACCCAGAGTAGTCAAGCCCCTTGGATGTGACCCTGGGCCCTTCAGTCACAGCATATAAGCTTGGAAGGAGATAAGCTTGGAGAGCCCGAGAGCCCAGGAGAGGAGTGAGGGCTGGGTGTGCCCCTGGTCAGTGACCTGTGGATTGGGCTTATGCCATGTTACAGTTGTGGAAAGTGAGGCCACTCAGTCAGTCTGCATCTCTGAATTGTATCTTCAGGCTCTCGTTCCCCGCCAGGACTCTCCCCAGTTCATACAGCCTTGGGATCTGGGAGCTGGGGTTGTAGCCAAGGCTGTCCGGTGGGCCTGTGGTGCCAGCATCCCTCCCACTGCTGCAGGTTTTTTGGCACCAAATGGATGATGTTCCTGGCTGTGGGTGTCTATGCCCTCTTTGTCTCCACCAACTACTGGGAGCGTTACTACACACTTGTGCCCTCTGCTGTGGCCCTGGGCCTGGCCATTGTGCCTCTTTGGGCCTCCCTGGGTAACTACATCACTAGGTAAGCCTAGTGGGCAGCAGGGTGGGAGGGTGGAGACCTGGTTGGGCCTCTGCTGCATTGCTAACCTCAGCTAGGGGACTTTGGGCCTCAGTTTTCCCACTGGGGTGGGCCAAGCCGTAGCTCTGGGTGCAGGAAGTTAGGAGTAGCAGAGGTGGACTGGGGAGAGCCTTCACTCCTCTGGTCCAGGATGGCACAGAAGTACTACGAGTATTCCCACTACAAGGAGCAGGATGAGCACGGGCCTCAGCAGCGCCCGCCACGGGGTTCGCACGCTCCCTATCTCCTGGTCTTCCAAGTCATCTTCTATAGCTTCTTCCATGTGAGTGCCAGGTGGGACATTGGGGTGGGGGTGTGCTCCAGCCCCACCTTCCTTTCCTGAGCCAATCACCTCTAGCCATCTCCCTGTCTACAGTGTTGCCCAGGAGGACCTCTCCTCACCTTGGGCATCCCCCCACACACCAGGCTGTCCCTAGAGATGGGAGGGCTCTTTGCCTCGGTCTCCTGCCTGACTCCATCTCTGAGTCTGGCCACAACTGCTCTCCTGTCCACAGTTGAGCTTCGCCTGTGCCCAGCTACCTATGATTTACTTCCTGAACTCCTACCTGTATGACCTGAACCACACGCTGTACAACGTGCAGAGCTGCGGTCAGTCCTCATTGGGGGCGGGGGGTCTCCAAACCTGCTTCTCTACCGCATTCAGGCATCCAGCAGACACTGGGCCCTCACTCACAGGGTTCAGTGCTGCATGCAAATCCAGCCTCCCGTGGCTCTAGTGGGAAAGGACCAGGGCCCAGGAGTACATAGCTAGACATCAGCATGGTGGTGGGGGGTGGGTAGGCACATGCGGGAGGTGCCATCTGGGTTCAGACTGCCCTGAGATCACCTTGGGGACAGGCATGCAGTCAGAGCTCAGTCGATACAGAGTGAGTATATGGAGGTGGGAGCTGGACTGGTCGTCCAGAGTCCCAGCCTGGGGCAATAGGGCTGGAAGGCAGAAGAGTGGCTTCTCTTCCCAGGCACCATGCAGCCCCTGTGGCTCTAACCTTCAAAACTATTCTCCAAAAGAACCCTCCTTTGCTGGCACTGTCCTCACCTGCCCCCTCCATTGCTGCATTTCTTTACGGTTGGGTTGTCAGTCCTACTCCCCACCTCATGACACTCCATCCATCCTTCCCAGGCACTGAAAGCCACGGCATCCTGAACGGCTTCAACAAGACGGTTCTGCGGACCCTACCGCGGAGCAGAAACCTCATTGTGGTGGAGAGCGTGCTCATGGCGGTGGCCTTCCTAGCCATGCTGCTGGTGCGGCCCGGACTTGGGTCGGGGGTGGGGGGGTGGGCAGGGAGGGAGGCAGAGGCTGTGAGGTTGAGCGTGACGCAATCGGGAGCAAAGGGTACGTCCCGGTGAGCGGCCAGCAGCCTGGAGGGGTGGCCAGGGCAGGGTTGCGGCCTCGGAGTGGGCTCCAGGTTGGACGTTGTCTGAGACAGGAGTCAGGGCTGAGTTCAGGAAGCGTGGCTGATGCCTGTGGACCAAACTGGACTTGGGATTCCGGCAGACCACGGGAAGGGAGACCAAGAGAAGATGGGCCCTCGAGGCCTGGTGTGACCTGTAAGGGGACCAGAGACCCGACCCAGGGTTGTGGGTTGGAAGGTGTGGCTTAAACTCGTGGGCGGTGGAAGAAGGCAGAGCTAAAGTGCTGGGGGTGAGATCAGGGAAGGTGGCTGAGTTCAGGTCTAGGTGTGTGAGAGTGTGGAGGTGTGGCCTTGGGCCGAGAGGCAGCTAAGGGCACCGCGGAGAAGCAAAGCCCAGGCCTGTGGGTGTGTCTTGGGCGGGGCCTTGGGCTGAAGCTAAGCCTGGGGGCGGGGCCTTGAGCTACGACTGTGGGTGTGTCCGGGGGCGGGGCTTTGGGCTGTGGGTGTGTCTGGCGGGGCCTCTGGCTGAGCGTGGGTGTGTCTGGGGGCGGGGCTTCTGGCTGAGCGTGAGTGTGTCTGGGGGCGGGGCCTCTGGCGGAGCGTGTGGGTGTATCTGGGGGCGGGGCCTCTGGCGGAGCGTGTGGGTGTGTCTGGGGCGGGGCTTCTGGCTGAGCGTGGGTGTATCTGGGGGCGGGGCCTCTGGCGGAGCGTGTGGGTGTGTCTGGGGGCGGGGCCTCTGGCGGAGCGTGTGGCTGTGTCTGGGGGCGGGGCCTCTGGCGGAGCGTGTGGGTGTGTCTGGGGGCGGGGTCTCGGGCTGAGTTGCCGCTGAAGCCCGGGGGCGGAGTCCCTGTACCTGGCTGGTCAGCCCTGCATAGCGCTTGTCCTCAGGTGCTGGGCCTGTGCGGTGCGGCTTACCGACCCACGGAGGAGATCGACCTGCGCAGTGTGGGCTGGGGCAACATCTTCCAGCTGCCTTTCAAGCACGTGCGTGACTTCCGCCTGCGCCACCTCGTGCCCTTCTTTATCTACAGCGGCTTTGAGGTGCTGTTTGCCTGCACTGGTCTCGCCCTGGTAAGTACAGCCTGCATAGGGTTGCCAGTAAGACAGGACTTCCAGTTAAATCTGAATTTTAGATAGACAGAAAATACCCTTTAAGCGAACGTATGACTAGTACAAGTATGTACCAAATATTTCCCTCCCCCTTTCCGCTCTTGTCCCCATTGCCTTTTATCCCAGGCAAGTCATTTTAACCTCTCTGACGTCGAAAGCATTCAGTTTCACGTGGGCTATAGCCCTTAGGGTCTGGGGACATACTCCAAGGCTTATTAACATTGTCTTCTCCCCCTCTTCCTACCAGCCTTGGAGGGAGTTAGCACCCACCTGGTCCAGAGACAGCGAGGTGTGACCTAAAGTGACACCTCGTGGGAAGACCAGGCTATCTGATCTCTGGTGCTCTCCTTCTGTCTCCTCAGGGCTATGGCGTGTGCTCAGTGGGGCTGGAGCGGCTGGCTTACCTCCTCATAGCTTACGGCCTGGGTGCCTCTGCAGCCTCCATCCTGGGTCTGCTGGGGCTGTGGCTGCCACGTTCAGTGCCCCTGGTGGCTGGGGCAGGGTTGCACCTGCTGCTCACCCTCAGCCTCTTTTTCTGGGCCCCTGCACCTCGGGTCCTGCAGCACAGCTGGATCCTCTATGTAGCAGCTGCCCTCTGGGGTGTAGGCAGTGCCCTCAACAAAACCGGACTCAGCAGTGAGTACAGCCATGAGCACTGGGGTGCCTGGGAGGGGCCTGTGGCCTACTCTGGGTGGCTGGGGCATTGGCATCTCAGGGACAAAAATGGGATCCCATGGGCACCGGGTGATCTGTCATGGGGTTCTTGGGTCTGGTATAGAAAGGTGGGGATGTCTATAGACAGTCCAGGAGTGAAAGGAAGTCTCATGGGCTCTGTAGGGACGGATGGCTTCCCCACTTGGGAAGAATATATGAGAATTCCATGCTGTGGACATTTCCCGTATGTCCACAGGGCAGGTGTTGGATCCTATGGACACTGAGGGGGGTTGTTGTGGGATCTTGTGGATTAGATGGGGTGAGTTAGGGCTCTGTGCACAGTCCTTAGGGACAGTGTGAAAACACACGAGGGACACCTTTTTTAGGAGATAGGACATAGTTTCTATGACACTGGGAGCAGATGTGGGGGGTCTGTCCCAGGGATGGGCAAAACAGCAGGTGGCCTTGTCCATACCCTAGTGTATAGGTACATATTTTTCCCCCTCCCCTTTTTGGTGGGAAAAAAAGTGCACTTGCTAAGCAGGCACTTTACTACTTAAGCCACACCTCCAGTTCATTTTGCTTGAGTTATTTTGAAGATGGGATCTCATGAAATTCTTGTCTGGGCTGGCCTCCAACCACGATCCTCCTGATCTCAGCCTCCCAAGTAGGGAGTGAGCCACTAGCACCCAGCTGGGCCCTTTTCCTTTTCTTGTGCAGTACCGGGGGATTGAATAGGCAAGTGCTCTAACACTGAGCTACACTCTTGGACCCAGATCCAGGCTTTTTTGTGGAGAGGAGCCAGAAACAGGCATGAAGCCTCCACCCAGTCTGCCCAGCACCAGAGTCTAGGCCCTAAGTGTGGGCTGCTGGGCTGAGGCACTGGAGAGAAAGCCTAGTTGCAGAAGGCAGGGATGGGCCAGGGTTCAGCGTGTGATGCTTACAGTACTCAGGAAGACATGGGCCATAACATGCAGTTGATACACATCTACAATGGGCTATCCAGATGGCCACTGGCCTGTTAGTTTTGAATGTCACCCCTGGGCCCCAGGACATTATTGCTCATGTCCTGAGCCTGGCAAAGGTGTTGATAGCAAGTGGCTCCCACAGCCTGCCAGGTGCTGTGTGGGCTTTCTCACATTTGAATTTCCCAACTCAATGTATAACAGGTGTAAGCTCATTTCACAGCTGGGAAACAAAACTGGGGAATCAAGTAACCTGCACAGATCTCCCACAGAGTCAACATTTGGCAATTTTTTTTTTTTGGCAGCACTGGGACTTGAACTCAGGGTCTTACACTTGCTAAGCTGGTGCTCTACCACTTGAGCCACTCTGTCAGCCTCAGAGCCGACATTTGAATTCCCACCACTCTCCGAGACCTTCGTCCTGAGCACTCAAATCTGAGAACTCCCTTTCAGGGAGTCAGGACAGGACATACCTAAACATAGAGCTCGCTTCTTCTGAGGCCACAGGTGTCCTAAGTGGAGGCTTACCTGCATCTGCACTGAGGGCTCACCTGGGCAAGTGTGGTAACCAGGATTTCCACTAGGAGGCAGACAAAGACCAGTGTACTGCACTGCTTGGGCCCTCTAGGGTCCTGGGATGGGACCAGTACCGGGTCTAATAGAGCTGTAGGTGCCCCAGGTCCCAGGTGACACCTGCCCCTTGCCTGCCCTGTCCCGGCCCCCTGCAGCACTCCTAGGAATCCTATATGAAGACAAGGAGAGGCAGGACTTCATCTTCACCATCTACCACTGGTGGCAGGCCGTGGCCATCTTTGCTGTGTACCTGGGTTCCAGCCTGCCCATGAAGGTGAGGCTAGGTGGGGATTGGGGAGACCCATGCCCACCAGGCAACAAATACTTTCTGAGCACCCTGGCTTCACATCCTCCTAAAAGACTCCATGTCCCAAGGGCCAGGCCTTGGGCCAAGAACCCAGGAGGTAACTGCCTTCCCTCCTGCTAGCCTTGGTTTACCCACCTCTGAAGGGATCCATAGTTCACTCTTTCCTTGTGGGTGCATCTCAGATGCCCTGTGGGTTGTTTGTTCACTCTTTTCCAGCTGCTGGCCTGGATTCACAGGACAGGGGGCTCTTCTCTTGTTTTTGGTTTTGTTTTCTGTGGTGTTAAGGCTGGAACAGGACCTTGCTAGGCAAGTGCTCCACCACTGAGCCACTCCTCCAACCCAGGCCACTCCCCAACCATGGCAGGTCCTCACTAACACTTTATTTATTTTGGTGGGACTGGGGTTTGAACTTAGGATTTTATGCTTGCAAAGCAGGTGAGGTGCTCTACTGCTTGAGCCACACCTCCATCCATTTTGCTCTGGTTATTTTGGAGACGGGTCTCATGAACTATTTTCCTAGTCTGGCCTTGAACCATGATCCTCCTGATCTCAGCCTCCCAAGTAGCGAAGATTGCAGGTGTGAGACACAGGCACCCAACCTAACATTTTTAAGAAATGAAATAGAAAATAGCAGAGAATGCACATGCAAAACTAGCTAGTTAGCATGCACAGCTGTTTCTGACTGTAGGCTAAGGATTTCACCTCTGAAGCATTTATCACCTCCCCAGGGTTTAAATCTAAGCTGTGGTCCAGAGCCAGGCCTGTTTGCAGACCTGATCTTCGCCTTCACCCTAAGAGGCAAAGGAGCTAACAGTCTCTCCTCTTATGGTTAGGGAAACAGCCCCCAGGTCTAAATGACTGTAAGGGGCTGTGCTGGGATTTGAGCCCTAGAGGGACTGGGGGAATTGAGGGCGAGGAGGTGAAGAGGCTCCTGGAAAGGATAAGGATCCAGAAGAGGTGGTGTGGGGTGCAAATCTGAATGGGAATGGGCAAGGAAGGTGCAGAGCCTGCGGGTCCCCTCATCCCTGCCCTTGTGCTCAGGCGAAGCTGGTGGTGTTGATGGTGACTCTGGTGGCGGCGGCGGTCTCGTACCTGTGGATGGAGCAGAAGTTACGGCAGGGGGTGGCCCCTCGCCAGCCACGCATTCCACGGCCACAGCACAAAGTGCGTGGCTACCGCTACCTGGAAGAGGACAACTCGGACGAGAGCGATGCGGAGGGCGAGCGTCCCGGAGGCCGGGGGGACTGCGCGGAGGAGGCGCCACCCGCGGGACCTTGCCCGGGCCCAGAGCCAGCCGGCCCCTGCCGCAGGCCCTGCCCCTACGAACAAGCACAGGGCGGTGACGGGCCGGAGGAGCAGTGAGGGACCCCCCCATCCAGAGGCCGGCCTGCTTCCCTGCTTGCTGGCCATCTGCAGGAAGGACCCTGTGTCCCCTCCTCTTTGTTCGGGAACGCCCCTCTCAGAGACCAGGGTCACCTAGAACTCCGCAGCCCCCTCCGCGGAGAGGTGGAGCTCCATCCAGGACCCCTGCCCTTGCCCAAGGCCCAAACCCGGACAGAGACGACCCCTCCCTGCTCACCACACCCGCAGGGCCACCTCGGCCCTCTCGGTATGGCACCTACCGCTTATGATGCGGGGGGCCTTTGGCGCTTAGCACTTCCTACCCCCAGGACCCACCCAAAGGCACAACTTTTTATAGAAAATGAGCAATAAAGAGAGTTTTGTATTGTCCTGACTGGGAAGTCTCGGGCCCTGGGGGAGAAAGGGGTCGGGAAGCTCCTGGGGTGCGTCCCCGCTGACCCGCACTTGGGGCGCTGCGGTGGGAAGGCTTCACACCTCAGAACCTCTGGGTGTAGGGGTGCGGAGGGTGGAGGCCCGCCCCTCCCAGGTCGCACTCCAGGAGACAGGTCGCTGGAGCAGGTGATAAGGGGGGGTCCCCAGGGTCCCCCCCTTCAGGTAGCCTGAGCCCCCAGCCCTCCAGCTCAGCCCTTTCTGTCTCCTCTAGTATGTCTGCCCACAGCACTTCAGGGGATGCCTTCCAGGCAGGGTCCACTTCTGAGTCACTGGGGGTCACCTGTGCCTGTGTGGACCTGGGAAATAACAGTTGTTTCAGCCCAGATAAACCTGGTCACTGACCTGCCAGGCTACAGCCTCAGCTAACATTCCCAAGGGCTGAGGGAAGGACCCCTTTCTCCCTGCCCCACTTCCACCTACAGGGAGACTAAAACCCCACTGTTAAGAGCCCTGCATGGTTAGGTGCATCTCCACAGGCCCTCTGCTGGGGCCACCCACTCTCATTCTCACAGTCCCTTGCCCCTGGCTGAAGGGCAGAACTCTTGTCCCTTCCTGGATCAAGGCTCCCTTCTCTACTTCTCTCCTCTCTGCCCCTTCCCCCTCACTTTCACTTGAACCTCTATAGTGGTCCCTGGAGCCAGGCTCTGTGACCTTGCAAGGAATCAGTCCACCTGAGTCACAGGTTCCTTCTCTGAAGACTGTATGTCATGTTAGATCCTCAGCACGGTGACTCGGTGACTCAAGGTCTTCAGGCCCTGTTAGAAACTCCCAAGTGTGCAGCAGGAGATTTTAAGTTTTCTAAATTTGGGGATGGAGAAAGCAGCCTGCCTCACACTCAATGACAAGAAGACCCAGCAACAGTCACAGGGTGTGACAGCAGGCTCGGTGAGGCACTTGCACTCTGCCCTGTTTTTCAGGAGGAAATGCTGTCTGGAGGCAGGTGTGGTGACAGCCTCCTGGCAGGGTTCCAGCCACTCCAGCTAAAGATGGGGAACCAGGCCCTGGGCAATGAGCATCTGAACCAGGATGGACAGGTACTAATGGAAGGGTGTGCCAACCCCCCTCTGCCCACCCGCCGCGGGCTCACCAGGCAAACTGTGGGGAGGAGATGTCTGCCATCCTCACGGTTCAAAGTCATTTCTACACTGTGCTAAAGGCCAAAGGCTAAGGTGTGGGACTGACCTCAAGTGGCCCAGGCACACAGAGCAGCATGGAGAATGGTTTCCAGCGACCCCTTCTCTTACCAACACTTTTGCACGAGAACCCCATAGGCCACCTGGCTGCTGCAGGCACTTGGATAAGACCCACACACTCGCTTGTGACAGGCAACACCTAGGACAGTCACCAGCTGACACAACAGGCAACCCGTGTTTGTACAGTGATAGGCCCCACACCACAGGAAATATTCATGTGCAGAGCAGGTCCCAGGTCATAGCAGCAAGCCCAGCAGGCTGGCCCTTCCGAGCGGAGCTAACTGAACCATGAGGGCAGAATGAATAGTCCCAAAGCAGTCCCCAGGTGTCACTCCCCTGTCTCTGTCACTCCTGGACCCTGACTGAAAGGTGAGACTGTGGTAGCCTCTGCCCTGGGCACCACTGTTGCGTCAATGTCAATCAACTTGGTCAGTGTGCACTGTGGAGATCTAAAAACTGTGTGAGCCCATGAAACTCCAGTCTAAGATTTCAACTCTTTCCATTTTTCAAGAAGAGGGAAGATCACTTGAAAAAGGGTCTTCTTCCAAACGCCTAGAAACAAATTCCCTTTTAAACACATAGCTGAGCACTCAAGAAAATAAGCTAGCTCTCCTGGGCCAACAGGGAAGAGGGAACTGAAAACAAGGGTGGGGGAAAAAGGGGGGCTGCTGCTGCAGTTGCTGGGGAGTAGCTGCCTGGCCTTGAGTTTACAGCTGAAGGTTGACGGCCCTTACCAGGCAAGAGTCGGTGTTAAGACCACGCATAAAGTTGGATCACAGAAAAACGCTTGTTCTTTCTTTTTCTTTTTGGGGTGCTGGGGATTCTTTTTGTGGTGTTACACAAGTGCTCCACCATGAGTTACACCCCGAGTCTTAAAAAAGAAAAAAACTTAAGCCAGACGCCAGTGGCTCATGCCTGTAATCTAGCTACTCAGGAGGCAGAGATCCGGAGGATTATGGTTCAAAGCCAGCCCGGGCAAATAGTTCACAAGACCCTATGTTAAAAAAAAAAAAATCACAAATAAAGAGAACTGGTGGAATGGCTCAAGATGCAGACCCCGAGTTAAAACCCTGGTACCCAAAAAAAAAAAAAGAAATATTGGTACTTCAACCATAGTGAGTTAAACTCTACCAACACCAGAATGAACATGGAAGAGGATTTTTGAGCCCCAGCTTGGCCTACACTCTGTGGCCTTGTGAGGCCCTGAGTAGACAGCTGACTATACGGTGCTGGACTCCTGGCCATATCACCTGTGCAACAATAAATGGGGATTGCTTAAGTTTCTGAATTGGGATATTTTTAAACACAGAAATAGAAAGTTAAGCTAATGTCAAAGTCATGAGATGTCACTGCTGAGAGTGAGTTAGGAAAGATTTCATCACACTCTTTTTCACTAGTCTGCTAGTGAAACTGACTGCCACTTTGTGAGCTGTCCTGTGTCAAAGTCCATGTGGCAGGAAACTGAAAAATAACAAAAGCAAAAAGGGTGGGGGAGGGCACTTGACTCAAGTGACAAAGCATCGGCCTGGCAAGCTCAAAGCCCTGAGTTCAAACCCCAGTTCCACCTCAAAAGAAAACAGAGCAGATTTCCAAGAAATTGTTTAACTAGGTTTTAGTGAATTTGAAAACAGTAAGGTACGGCCATACCACCCTGAACGCGCCCGATCTCATCTGAAAACAGTAAGGTGTCAGCTCAAAAATCCAAATAGCCCTGGCAAATGGGATTGGAAATTAATGAGCACCAATGGCATCCATGGAAAGAGCGTGACCAGTGCATACCCGGAAGGCCTGTCTGCACAATCTGAGTGCTGGCTGCATTGTGCAAGATGCTGGGTGCCCAGGGCACTGAGTGCACATCTTCTGTGCCTGTTCGGGAGTGGAAGTGAATTTTGGATGAGAGAAGGAGCTATTGAAAGATGCTCAGAACAGAACACGAGAGCAAGGCCTGTGGCAAAGCCTTATCCCATGGCCAAGTGAACAGAATTGTTATTTTTGCAATGCTTGGAATTAGAGGCTTTTATGTTAATTAGGCTCACGCTTGCTAGGCAGGAGTTCTCCACCTGAGTCACACCCCCTGCCCTTTTTGCTTTAGTTTTTTTTCAGGTAGGTTCTAGTTTTTGCCCAAGCTGGCCTGGTCTGTGATCCTCCTACTTAACACCTACTTCATAGTTAAGAACCAGGCAGACACCATCATGCTCAGCTTTTTTTTGTTGTTGAGATAGAAATCTTGCTAACATTTTGCCCAGGCTGGCCTTGAACCTCAGTCCTCCCAATCTTTGCCTCCCAAGTAATTGGGATTACAAGCTTGCCTAATGACACCCAGCCTCTATTGTGGCTTAATGTAAGCCAAAATGAACCACTGCAGAAAACAATCACTGGACTATTGAATCCCTTCTTTGGGAGGTTTTATAGATGTGGTTCTATTCTGGTAACTTAGTTGACTCTGTGCAGGTGAGAGAAAATTTCTAGAGCCCAGTTGGTGAGGGTGTCATTAGGGCCTTGATATCATTCTGGGTAACCTGTTGTATCTGGCCAGGCACTCAGATATAAAGCCAGCCATTCTCCTTCCCCTTTTTAATGTGACCTTGTGATAAACTGGTTTTTTGTTTTTTCTTTTTGAGGCAGGGTCTCACTGTGTTGCCCAGGTAGGCCTAGAATCAAGCGAATCTCCTGCTTCAGCTTCCCAAGTAGCTGTGACTATAGGTGTGCACTTTTGTACCCAGTAATAAACTGAATTTTACCCTAAATATTTTTATTTGGAAGGACTGGATTTGAGTCATAACAATTGTTTTCTTTACCTAAGTGATTTTTACCTTTACCTTTTTCTTTTCTCCCTCCCTTTCTTCCTTCCTTTCTTTTTTTCGGGGGATGGTCCTGGGAATTTGAACTCAAGGCTTTACACTTTCTAGCAGGCACTCTATCATTTGAGCCACATCCCTGGCCCTTTTTTGCTTTAGTTTTTGTGTGTGTGTGTTTGGGGGGTACTGGGGCTTGAACTCAGGGCCTTCACTTTGAGCCACTCCACCAGCCCTTTTTTGTGATTTTTTTTTTTTTTTTTTTTTTAGATAGGATCTCTCAGTTTCCCCAGGGCTGGCTTTGAACTGCCATCCTCCTGATCTCTGCCTTGTGAGTAGCTAGGATTACAGGCGTGAGCCACGGTGCCCAGCAGAAAGTGTCCTTTTCTACTAAGCCTTACCGTCCCTTTCACTGCATTTCCATGTCTTGCCTGAATCCCCTTGCTGGACACCAGGACGGGGGTAAATAGCCATGTGGCCTTTCCAGTCACAACCTCTACATCCCAACTTTTTCCTCACAGTTGCTGGAAAGGGGAGAGGAGAGGCAGTAAGGGGAGGGAAGGAAGTGCCCCTCTTTAGTTATTTTTGTCTTCATTTTTTTGAGACAGGATCTTACTAATGTAGCTCTGGCTTACTCGGAACTCACTGTGTAACCCAGGCTCACCTAGAACTCATGATCCTCCTGTCCCAGCCTCCCAAGCACTGGGATTACAGGTGTGTGCCACCATGCCTGGCTCCCTCCTTAGTTGTTAGTTCTATGCATCAAACTGACATGAAGCATGTAATGTGAGCTTTAGCTTGCAAAAAAAAAGTAATCTGTCAGTCCAAAAAGAACTATATGAGTTACCCCCAAGAGGTCCAGGTCTATTTCAATGTTCAAAAGAATAAAAAGGAGACACACACCCTGCGGGATGAAGACCCCACTCAGCAC